GATCCCGTTTGTCGCCTCTCACGACAAGCATGGGTTACTGAAGATCAATTCTAACCCGGATCTTCACGGGTCTTGCGAGATACGAACCGCCAACCTCTAGATGCTACATGCTATCGCCTGTGCTATGGAGGCTGGTCGCTTTTTTAATTTATGCTTTATTTATAAATTTTTATGCAAAGACAGTACCAAGTCTTGGCGGTATGTGCTGTGCAAGTGCCTGTAAATCTGCCTTTCTAGAAACTAGGTTGAAAACGAACACGCCTTTATCGAACTGACGGATATAACGAAATACCATATTTATACCCGCCCACTTGCTTTTATTTTAGTCCAATTCGTACAACGAACAATGGTTATAACTAATATGAATGGCCCCTTTGACTTCGTTATAACCGAAGTTTGTTGTACACTGAAGTTCAATATATCGTATCCACATTTTGCGTTATAGAAACATATATGCGTTATATATTTACTTGTTTAAATTCTAAACATGTTTACATTCCTATGGTAACGTACACAACGTCGGAAACATGTTTAATCTCTAAACTTGTTAAGATTTCGGTGGGGTATATGCTATGAGAAGCAAGCTGAGTTCATGTTTTTGGAACAAAACCAGTTTTGACATGCGAAACAGTAATGGTTTGGTTTGGTTGGTTGGTTGTTAACACCGCACTCAGCAATATTCCAGCTATATGGCCTGTGGTCTGTAAATAATCGAGCCTGGACCAGACAATCCAGTGATCAACAGCATGAGCATCGATTTACGCAATTGGGATACGATGATATGTGTCAACCAAGTCAGCAGCCTGACTATACGATCCCCTTAGTTTCCTCTTACGATGAGCATGGCCTGCTGAAGATCAATTCTAATCTGGATCTTCACGGGTCTAATGGTTTGGGGAGCAACCATCGATCTCAATTGATTGTAGCCCTTGAGAAATCTTGTTGCCATACAGTATCGGGACCACGTTTTGACCCCAGTCCATCTATCAACCATGCAGCTACATGTTACTGGACCGACATGACAGCGCTACGTCCCATACTTCGGTTCTGACATCGTACGTAACGCCGATGTTGACGTCATGGACTTGAACCGGATCGAACACATTTAGGATGAGTTGGTTTAAACATATTTATTTCCAAAAGAGGAACCGGATTGGTAAACAAGCAGTATGGTGCTTATATGAATACCGCTCCGGAATACAGATATGTTATAGATATAATAATCGTACGGAGAAAAACATGATATTAACAAACGATAAACAATAGCTTTCTGGAAATGTAACAATCATAAACTGTAACATGGTCGCTTTTAACGTTAGAACCATTAGTGTCGGAAAATACTTAATAGTAAGTGCAATTTCGTTTATATATTACAACTCAAATCTGCCTGACAGTACAATGAAAGAATGGATAGATTCTAATAATTCAAGATTACCTTTAGTAGATCCATGAGAGTGGCCGTATAGTATTGATTTGATGTCATATCTTTCAGTATAGAAGTGCATTTTATGTCTTATGTCAGTGTAATTAACGCACGAAAAGAAATAGTGAATTGGATCTTCGTAACAGTAGCCACAAGAACAAGAGGGATTTAAAGATATAAATCGTTGATATGTATGTGTGTTTAAATCGCTGCAACCGAGCCTGAGGCGTGAATGGATAATCTGACAGAATCTTGTTCCAAAGCTTAAATTGAAGTAATTTTGACTATTATTATTATTTGACCCATTAATCTGTTTCTTAAAACTACCCAAAGTAGCCGTTTCTCTATAATCGGTAGACAAACAATTCCACAATCTTACTGTATCTGGGAGAAATGACTTAGCATAACTTGCACTTTTACTATCGATAGTTTGGAGCTTCAAACGGTCTTGGAAAATGTAGCTTGTTGTGTCAGATACCTTAGGAGGGACGAGATCGCTCAGATATTTTGGAGTAAAATTATTAACCATCTGATAGAAAAACGTTAGTTTTTGGATGTATCTTCGAGTACATAGTGGTTGGAAGTTTGTCTCATCATAAATTTTGTCGTGACTCGTGTCGCGAACAGCACCGCAAATAGTTCTAAGTGCATCAAGATTAAGTTTTTCCAGTGTTAGTGCTTACTGTTTGGTACAATTGTCCCAGATGTGACAACAATTGTCGAAAATAGGTAAGATATATTGTTTGTACATTGTTTGTAAAGTTAGGATGAGTTGGTAAGACGACTGCGACAGCAGATGAATCAGACCCGCAGCTTGTTAACACCTCGTTCACCAATGGCGACGACTTCCTCATCTGACGATTCCTGAGGCAGTCTTGAGTGTTATTCAATGTAGTTGTGAAGTGTGAAGTTCACGTTTGTCGGTTTTAGAACGTCATACACTGAGAGCATTTTTTTTTCTTTTTTTTGTGTTTCACGAAGCCACCAAATTCTGAACATGGGTCGGTCGGGGGAAAAAAGAAACATAATAAAGATAAAATTATCTGAATACTGTTCTTGATTCTCATTTATTGTAATTCTTATTACAATTTCTCGCTTTCTCTAGATTTGTGTCAGCGACTGAGAATAAGGTAAACAATTGTTTTTAATGATAAACTCACCCTAAATATCTTAGATAACACCTATTAATAAAATATTAAATAATGAAATCTTTGTAGATCAATCGATATCAAAAGAGAGTTTTGCAATTAAATTCAAGATACATTGTTTTCAATTTCTTTCAATTATCCTGCATAAAGTGAGAGTTTGACAGATAGACACCAATTAGACAGCCAAGGCTCACATACCTAGGAAGCTTAATTTAGTCTTGAAGATACACGTAGTATAACATGTATGTAACACATATAGAGAGTGCCATGCACATTATTCTTTACAATTGCAACTGATTATTTATTTTATTTTCATAGGCTATGTGGGATTTGCAATATAATATTCAGGTAACAATTTTCCTCTAATCTTACAAAAATGACATATTAAGTAGAAACGGTACTCTGCTTCAATACAGGGAACAATGCATATAGGACAAAATCGTTTATCTTTAGCAATATGAAGTTTTCTACTTTCCTCTATCACCAATCTGTGATCTGTGACCTAAATTTAGTCAGGGCTATTCTGTATGAAGTTACTCAACCATTTTCTTGTTTATTTCACACTATACACAAACGACATGCACCAAAACATGTTGAACTGATGGCGCCTGTCAGCGCGCTAGTCGCAATTCTTTCGGAGACACTTACATCTCACTGTCATAATGAGTTTACGTACATTTATTCATCGCAAACAGAATTGTAAGGTGCCCGTTCGCCATTGACGACCTTGGCCTTAACCTGTCCCGCACTTAAAAGGGCAAGGGAGCTCATTGGATAAAAATAAATTATGTCCCTTCAAATCGCTGACTCTTTTAAGTGCGAGGCAGCATCAGAGAACTAGAGGCGATGGCTGTGCCAGAGGCCGTGATTACTAGTAAAGTAAACAGACAGTATCACGGTAAACAAGACCTGGCTTCCATTCAGTTGGCAGAAAAAGAAACCCTCCACTACAATGAGTCGAGTAGTAAAACATGTGATACTGGGTCATCCGTGCCTTACAGTTTGCAACTCCAAACGTTTCCCACAATGTGGCTGATTGTCCAGTTTAAAGTGTCCTTTGGAGGAGTGGAAACCAGTTGCCTGTTATTATTACAGGATATTTATAGAGAGCACAGTTCCAGGCAACTAGTCCATGCTCAAGGCGCTGGTATTTTTTCCCTCGATCATTGGATGTCAATCTCAACGGCACATCCTATTATCAATCTCAACTCCCTATGGAGTATACAACTCTTGCAGCCACTAGGCGCACCGAGTTATTGTGGCTTTCTCATCCTAACGAAGTACCAATTCACAGCTGGGTGGACTGGGACACATAGTCACAGTACTTTGTCCAAGTTCACTGCACGTTGCTGTACCCGCAGCTAGGTGTTTGCACGTATTCATGTGGCCACCATCTGGTCATATACCAACGGATGCCTGTTACATACGGGGTCAATCATTATGATAGCCACCATTACAGAACATTTCTTCAACTAGTTCAAACCACTTGGCACTGAGCTTCTCCAAAATCAGGGACGGTTCACACTTAAGCTAGCCTGTGGTGTGGAGATACCATATATCGGGTATATCAAAGTAGACATTAAGCAGCGTTTAAAATCCCCGCCTGCCCGACCGTCCGGAACGGTTTATTTTCATCTCGGACGGTCAAATTTCAAAAGTAGCCTGTCCGGTGGTCTGGTAGATATTTTTACCCCTAAGAGTAAATATTTCATAATATCAGACAGGTTCTCGTGTTGTCAGTTTGAGGTGTTTGAGGTATCATGAAAATTATGTTAAACTACATACGATTGTACAGTTCATGTTACGATAACCAGTCATAACACATGTACTTTCAGTTTACCTAAACTCGATGCATTGCCTGTTAGTGCTATGTAGTTCATTGCGATGCCTACGAACAGTGAATGGAGCTTGCGCGAGCTGGAAATGGCAGTCACAGTTTTTTATTGTTGAAACCCGGACAGGTAGTTTGTATCCGGACTGGTAATTTTTTAAAGTTACCAGTCCGGCTTGGAATTTTGGGAGTGTTAAACACTGCATTAAGGAATTCAAGCTGTTTTGGAGGTTGACAACAGATATGGCAACCAGACAGCAGAGGGAGCAGGTGCCATGTATACTAGGATGAATGTGATTAGACGATGTGTAGGCATGCAAGTTGAAAACTTTGGTAAGAACGTCTTATACAGGGTCAATGTGATGTCTGTCCACGAGGCATGGGTTAAGGGTTACAAAACCTTTTCTAAAACAGTGCTGTTGAGTATGCAATGGTTTCACTTGGGCATCCTGGGCATCCAACTCTCAGTCTACAGTGATCAAAGAAGATTATACGCCCCAGATAACTAATACGATCCATTCAAAGTACCTTTTTATTGACGTTACCTAAACCGTCTAAGAAAATAACTAGCACTCTAACGTCTCGATTTCGTCTTTAGGACCAATATCCAAACCAAAAATTATAATACCCACCGGTTGCTATGACGACGGCCAGGACCTGGATGTGGCCTGTCTGGGAGCAGTAAGAGGGTCTGATGCTGAGTTCAAGTGGTATGGGTACCGTGAAGGTCGTGACCCCGTTGACCTGACGCCCTATGCTGACCGAGGCGCCCCCTACCAACCGGATGGAAAATGTGGATACAAACTGGTCACTCATTTGAAGGTTAACCTGACGAGCGAGGACGATGGCATGGTCCTGCGCTGTGTCTTGAGTGACCAGACAGAAGGCTTGTCTCCATCCCCAAGGGACCTCTGCGGTGAATACTGCACTGACACGGACAATCTTACAATGTCAGGTAGGGCGCATGGGGGGTTCTTTATTCAAACTGATAATGTATGTTTCAGATTAGATTACAACCCATTATTCCTTATCATACATCATTTGATATAGATATGTTATTTCATACATAAGTGGCAAAAACGTGTTATAACCTATACCACATCATTAGATGGTTAAAAAAGCATTATTTTATACTTCACATCTTTATCATACATCATTTGATATAGATATGTTATATCATACATAAGTGGCAAAAACGTGTTATAACGTATCCCTCATCATTAGATAAAAAGTATACATCATCATACATATTTGATGGTTATATCATACATTGGCAAAAAAACGTATACCACATCATTATATGGTTAAAAAGGTATTATATTATAATTCACATCTTTATCATACATCATTTGATATAGATATGTTATATCATACATAAGTGGCAAAACGTGTTATAACGTATACCACATCATTAGATGGTTGAAAAAGTATTATATTATACTTCACATCTTTATCATACATCATTTGATATAGATATGTTATATCATACATAAGTGGCAAAACGTGTTATAACGTATACCACATCATTAGATGGTTGAAAAAGTATTATATTATACTTCACATCTTTATCATACATCATTTGATATAACGTATACCACATCATATGTTATATCATACATAATTTGATATAGATATGTTATATCATACATAAGTGGCAAAACGTGTTATAACGTATACCACATCATTAGATGGTTAAAAAGTATATTATACTTCACATCTTTATCATACATCATTTGATATAGATATGTTATATCATACATAAGTGACAAATACGTGTTATAACGTATCCCACATCATTAGATGGTTAAAAAGTATGTTATACTTCACATCTTTATCATACATCATTTGATATAGATATGTTATATCATACATAAGTGGCAAAACGTGTTATAACGTATACCACATCATTATATGGTTAAAAAGGTATTATATTATACTTCACATCTTTATCATACATCATTTGATAAAGATATCTTTATCATACACGTGTTATAACATTTGATAAAGATATGTTATATCATACATAAGTGGCAAAACGTGTTATAACGTATACCACATCATTAGATGGTTAAAAGTATTATATTATACTTCACATCTTTATCATACATCATTTGATATAGATATGTTATATCATACATAAGTGGCAAAACGTGTTATAACGTATACCACATCATTAGATGGTTAAAAAAGTATTATATTATACTTCACATCTTTATCATACATCATTTGATATAGATATGTTATATCATAATAAGTGGCAAAACGTGTTATAACGTATACCACATCATTAGATGGTTAATAAAGTATTATATTATACTTCACATCTTTAGAATCGTATTAGCGTGTTACATTATAGTCCACATTAGATGGCTTGTAACGATTTATCTCATCACATCATTATGTGTTACAAATGTGCTATATCATATTGCACATGACTAGGCAGTCATAAACGAGTTATCTCATACACTATATCATATGTAATATCATACATCACATTAGATGATGGTTTTGTTATGTCCTAACTCACATCAATAGAAGGATGTTAACGGGTTATATCTTACACCAACACCACTGGAAGGTTACACGCAGGTTGTATCGCACACCACATCATTAGATACACTAAGCTATAAACATGTTATATCGTACACTACACCATTAGGTGGATATATATGTATTTTACCAAATGCTACATATTTAGATGGTTATAACAACATGTGAAACCTTAGCATAGAATCCTGACATTATTCTGGGAACGGTGGGGTAGCCTAGTGGTGAAAGCGTCCGCTCGTCATGCTGAAGACCCGGGTTCGATTCCCCACATGGGTAAAATGTGTGAAGCCCATCTTGTAAAAAGTGTATCAAACTTGTCAGCTCAAAAGACGTTTAGACAACACATTCATATTAATGTTAGCCTGTCCCCTTAACCTTTGCATGTTCGTATCTTCACGACTGCATATAATCCACTCTCCTTTGGACTTATGTTGATATTCCAGCGCCACTCTCCAAACCCACACTGACTGTAAGCAAGACAGCAGGTTGTGTTGGCGATTCTGTGACCTTCCACTGTTCTGGACCTGTCGGAGATCCATCTAGGTCCTTCACGTGGACCGCACGCCGACCGAGGCAGGTGCCCGTGGACCTGACGTCCCTGTCGGACCCTGGCTACCCCTACCGACGTCTGGGATCTTGTACCTATGAGAGGCACAGTCACCTCACCCTGACGCTAGTGCAGGCTGACCAGGAAATGTCCGTCAGGTGTGAGGTTTCTCATCGGTCACTCCACATCTCAGAGGGAGACAGCTGCGGATTGTATTGTTCGGAATCAGAAAGGATTAGTCTTGCTGGTAGGTACAAGAATAGATAGGGTTTGTCAAGCACAGTAAAGTCTTGCTCGTAGGTACAAGAACGGATAGGGTTTGTCAAGCACAGTAAAGCCTTGCTGGTAGGAACAAGAACGGACAGGGTTTGTCAAGCACAGTAAAGCCTTGCTGGTAGGTACAAGAACGGATAGGGTTTGTCAAGCACAGTAAAGCCTTGCTGGTAGGTTCAAGAACGGATAGGGTTTGTCAAGCACAGTAAAGCCTTGCTGGTAAGTACAAGAACGGATAGGGTTTGTCAAGCACAGTAAAGCCTTGCTGGTATGTACAAGAACGGACAGGGTTTGTCAAGCACAGTAAAGCCTTGCTGGTAGGTACAAGAACGGATAGGGTTTGTCAAGCACAGTAAAGCCTTGCTGGTAGGTACAAGACCGGATAGGGTTTGTCAAGCACAGTAAAGTCTTGCTGGTAGGTACAAGAACGGACAGGGTTTGTCAAGCACAGTAAAGTCTTGCTGGTAGGTACAAGAACGGATAGGGTTTGTCAAGCACAGTAAAGTCTTGCTGGTAGGTACAAGAACGGATGCGGTTTGTCAAGCACAGTAAAGCCTTGCTGGTAGGTACAAGAACGGATAGGGTTTGTCAAGCACAGTAAAGCCTTGCTGGTAGGTACAAGAACGGATAGGGTTTGTCAAGCACAGTAAAGCCTTGCTGGTAGGTACAAGAACGGATAGGGTTTGTCAAGCACAGTAAAGCCTTGCTGGTAGGTACAAGACCGGATAGGGTTTGTCAAGCAAAGTAAAGTCTTGCTGGTATGTACAAGAACGGACAGGGTTTGTCAAGCACAGTAACGCCTTGCTGGTAGGTACAAGAACGGATAGGGTTTGTCAAGCACAGTAAAGCCTTGCTGGTAGGTACAAGAACGGATCACACAGGGTTTGTCAAGCACAGTAAAGTCTTGCTGGTAGGTACAAGAACGGATAGGGTTTGTCAAGCACAGTAAAGTCTTGCTGGTAGGTACAAGAACGGATAGGGTTTGTCAAGCACAGTAAAGCCTTGCTGGTAGGTACAAGAACGGATAGGGTTTGTCAAGCACAGTAAAGCCTTGCTGGTAGGTACAAGACCGGATAGGGTTTGTCAAGCACAGTAAAGCCTTGCTGGTAGGTACAAGAACGGATAGGGTTTGTCAAGCACAGTAAAGCCTTGCTGGTAGGTACAAGAACGGATAGGGTTTGTCAAGCACAGTAAAGCCTTGCTGGTAGGTACAAGAACGGATAGGGTTTGTCAAGCACAGTAAAGTCTTGCTGGTATGTACAAGAACGGATAGGGTTTGTCAAGCACAGTAAAGCCTTGCTGGTAGGTACAAGAACGGATAGGGTTTGTCAAGCACAGTAAAGCCTTGCTGGTAGGTACAAGAACGGACAGGGTTTGTCAAGCACAGTAAAGCCTTGCTGGTAGGTACAAGAACGGATAGGGTTTGTCAAGCACAGTAAAGCCTTGCTGGTAGGAACAAGAACGGATAGGGTTTGTCAAGCACAGTAAAGTCTTGCTGGTATGTACAAGAACGGATAGGGTTTGTCAAGCACAGTAAAGCCTTGCTGGTAGGTACAAGAACGGATAGGGTTTGTCAAGCACAGTAAAGCCTTGCTGGTAGGTAAAAGACCGGACAGGGTTTGTCAAGCACAGTAAAGTCTTGCTGGTAGGTACAAGAACGGACAGGGTTTGTCAAGCACAGTAAAGTCTTGCTGGTAGGTACAAGAACGGATAGGGTTTGTCAAGCACAGTAAAGCCTTGTTGGTAGGAACAAGAACGGATAGGGTTTGTCAAGCACAGTAAAGCCTTGCTGGTAGGTACAAGAACGGATGGGGTTTGTCAAGCACAGTAAAGCCTTGCTGGTAGGTACAAGAACGGATAGGGTTTGTCAAGCACAGTAAAGCCTTGCTTAGGAGCAAATCGTACTTGAATTTATATGAAGAGAATCCATCATTCGCGTAAGAATACTTAGCGGTACACCAAGGTGAAGGTCGTTCTTGACGGTGGCATATGGTTGTGACTAGTCGCTAATACAGTGCAAACTCATGCTTAAAATAAGATCTTTCTGTCTAAAACGAACAACAAAATCGGGCAGGATTATTTCCTGGCAGTGTTTCTATTTTCATTGCGGGTAATCACCTCTTCAATATCAGTTTCTGATACCTGACGGAATCGATTCGTCATCTGTATTGTGATCGACAGATCGAAATCCTTGGTTGGTACCTTTCTTAGACGATCGCCTTTCACTCGTGCCTCATAATCCGTACCTTCAATTTGAACGAAGTACTCCGTTTCATGTTTTCCAAAGTCAATTACTGCAGAACTCCAGAACCTCTGTCATCAATTCTTACAGAATCACCAATCAGCCATGTTTGTTTACAAACAATGTAAACTCGCGACGACGTCATCAATGTAATGTTAAATGTTTTAGGATTCACATGGCGTGTATGGAGTTGAAATTTGTGAAAGTAGTTCGTACATTGATATAATTTGCATAGTTATCAGATTTGGATACCATGTTTATCTGATTCCTTCAGTGCACCGATAACACCCTCCATTAGATGATAAACTTAATTAAAACGCAATTTTCATTTATTCATGACATATAATATACATTACTACGGAAGCGTAGTAGGACCGCGGTGAAATTATTTGGGTCTTACTATCTCCCACGTAGTACTTAATATATCCTACGAAAGACTTACTATCTCCTACGTAGGACTTAGTATCTCCTACGTAGGACCTAGTATCTCTTACGTAGGACTTAGTATCTCCTACGTAGGACATAGTATCTCCTACGTAGTACTTAATATATCCTGTAGGAGATAATCGATATACGTTTATATACATTAATCTGAAACGGTCGACTTAAATCCCCAGACACGCACACAATCTCCTGTTTCACTGTTTCAGTCACTGTTAGAGTCTACAGCCATTTGTTTCATTCACTATTAGAGTCTACAGTTATGTGTTTCATTTACTGTTAGAGTCTACTATCATGTGTTTCATTTACTATTTGAGTCTACTGTTTCCTTCACTATTAGAGTCATGTGTTCAACTAAGTGTTGCACGTTACTGTTTTGGACCGACTGTTACTTTACTGCCTTTCGTTCAGTTTGCTCTACTATTACGCGTTGCAGTTAGTTCACTGTTATATGTTGCACTTTGTATGCGTTGGATATGTCAGAGGTCGTTGCACATGAATCATAATATGCGTGTCTTAGACTATCGGTGGCAATCTATGTGTACGTATCCCCTTATAATTGTAGAAATAACTATAATGACAATTCTTTGCCTTTTTGAATTTCGTATTGTTTTACGCCGCACTCAACACCCCAGTCAAGTCAACCTGTAAACGATTACAAGTAAAACAGAGCCGCAAACGAGCGTTGAATCCGATCCAACCTAGCCCCATTTGAAGACAAGCAACAACTTGCGGAGGTCGTGTTATAACCCTAGTTTCATATCAGAACCTCACCCCAACCATCCCACCCACCTCTTTGTGTGTGTGTGTGTGTGTGTGTGTGCGTGTGTGAATAGATGTATGTATGACAGATTAAACAATACCTGCCCCAAACCTCCATAACTGCAATTAGAACAGGGTCCACGTCACCCTAACGTAATACACACACAATAACACTGTACAGTAACACTGCGTTAGTGTCATGAATATTCACTGACTCACATTTCTACTATCTAACGTCATGCATAGCCAAACATTTCTCAACTTAATAACCATACTTCATAATCCGAACCTTAAAAAAGGATATATTAAGTCCTACGTAGGAGATAGTAAGTCCTATGTAGGAGATATTAAGTCCTACGTATGAGATAGTATGTCCTACGTAGGACTTAATAACTCCTACGTAGGAGATAGTGACACCCAAAAAATGTTTTCACCGTGGCCCTACTACGCTTCCGTACATTACTGATTATGAAAACAAATGAACAAAATTATAAGCGTACAATCGCAAATCAAAAGTGCAATATTTTGTACTTGGATTTACTTCCCTCGAAACGAAGCACCTGGGATACCGAACCCAGCTCTTTGTGTGTGCTCAGAGGTCTTGGGGTTCGTAAATACATGCTCATTTTTTTGTGTATAATATTTCGCAATCAACAGACATCATAACATGTCATGTGTACAAGTATCACACCTGTCTGTCTGTGTAATTACATAATGTGACAGAGACATAACTCGGGTGCACGAGCTATAAATCAATGCGTTTTGTTTATGGTGTATAGCCTGATAGTTCAAATTGCATGTGGTCAGTGATCGAAGTTTTGTATTGCATATCGTCATTAGCAGACAGGCAGACAGACACAGAGGTGTCAATAAAACAGACACTGAGTTTTGTCTGTGACAGAGGCAGATCTATATCACAGTCAGAAATTCTGACAATGCTAAATAATGACGTTGCTTTAAAGTATCGAACTGAGAAAGTGATTCGGTAAGAAGAACGTATGGTGAAATAGTCAAATGAAATTATATAACAGTTAAATCTGTAATCTACTGTCATAACATATGAAAAGCTCGGGGTTGTGGAATATCAAAAAAAATTGAAAAATAGCTCACATCAAAGCCTACTCCGAGTACTCACAGCGAAGGTTTTCCGTCTTGAAATGTCTAACGCCTCACTGGTTGACACATTGCTGAGTAGATCTAGATCCTTAACAAGGTTCTTTTATCTAACGAGTAGATTATTTACTATTTGTTGTTTGTATACACAGTCAAGATTAGACTACTGCTCACGACCTTATAATTCGGGCATCCCGCTTCAAGTTGTGCGAACCTATTCACTGCGCATGCGCTATGAGCGCAGCTGTTGAAACCACTTTTCATCCCCGCTGGGGTGAATTTTGTGAATCGTTTGAACTCCGATTTCGCGGTGTTTTATTCATCGCGTTATTTTTCATCTTTATAAGTTGAATTTGCATTTTTGATGATTTGTTTCTGTAAATCCATACCGAAAGGTATCAGAATCTGCAAAGTTGTGTTTTGCGTTGCATGTGACCTTTAAGTAATCTTGATATTTTGTATAACCCAGGTTGTGAAATAGAGTTTGGGTCTGTTTTGGTTGTTATTGGAGGATCTATGGGTCAGTGGGCCTTTGGAAATGAAGGTACAAGCGTATGTGCTGCATGGAGGCAGCCATTTTATTTTCCTAAGACAGCAAAAGTTCGGATTCCACCCTTGAATAGGAATGGTAGGGTAGGTTCTAAAACCTTGGAATTCGCGGAATCCGATCGTGGTTAATTAGTGGATGTAAATTGGATGATTTGGAATGGCATTAAACCTTTTTGACACAGGTGATTTCACCAAGATGGCTCAACAAGGTTTGCAACTGTTTCAGATGCGACCACATGTGGGTGTTCAGCAAAGCTTTTCAATGTCTTCATCGTCGTGTGCTCCCTGATTCTGGTACGACTACATCACGACGAGCTGCTTGTGTGACACGAACGGAAAGTGTACACATATACATATATATATACAGATAATAGTGACATCGATCTAGAACACTGGGCCTAGATTTTCGAAGCTCTCTTAACGCTAAGACAGTCGTAAGTGCCATACATTAACATTAACTTACGACTATCTTAGCGCTAAGAGAGCTTCGAAAATCTAGGCCCTGGTGATTTTACACTTTGAACTGGAAAAGGGATGTGCCTCGGCGGCGTACGGAATGGTCACTGAACGTTGTTCAATCAGACAATTATAACTATAAATATTGACACTGCTCATGATAAGGTCATATAGTCAGACAAAGATGTGAAAAGAAATGTGTCATTGAAAATGTGTTGATGGAAAATTAAACTTGATACGATCCAGTTGGCGTTGCTTCAGGTTTTTTCAGTGGTCGGGGAAATATAACCCATTGTAGCATGATGGCATTCTATTCTGGCAGCTAAGGACCGCCTCGGTGGTGCGATGGATAGATAAATCGCGGGGATTCGGAGGTACTTGTTGTCACCCTGCCTTGCGCTCTGCAGTATATAAACAACGACTCACTCACTCACTCAGTCACGCACTTTACTCACTCACTCACTTTTTTCTCACTCACTCACTCGTTGATGCCTTCTACCAAGGAGGCCAAAGGCAGCAGCTATCAAAATCTCCATTCCCTACATTGGCAAGACTTCACACCAGATTAGCAGACCACTCAAGCAACAAGCTCATATAGGGTTAGTTCCCATGATGTAGAATTGTAAAAAACACAGGACTGAGCTTGGGAGGATTACCTTCAACACCACGTTCTCGAGTTCCATAACTCTCAAGAATTTTCTTCAGCCCAACGGGCGAAACAACTCCAACAATGAGAAATTAAACCCTAAGGGTGTGATTTACAAAAATAACTGCAATTGTGCACAATCATGTATTGGCGAAACATATAGAACAATTAACACCAGAGCTAAAGAACATTAGGCTTCAACAAACAAATCCGACAACAAATCAGCTATCTCAGAACATATTCTGAAGTACCCCAATCATCAAATCAACTGGAGTTCACAATACTGGCAGCCATCCAGCCTGACTTTACCAAACGAAAATTAACCGAAGCCATCCACATCAAACGACACCGACCCCTGATCAATAGAGATCAAGGTTATTCCATCCCCTCACCATACGGTGATGAACTCATCAGTCAACATTCACTGCTTGTGTAAACATGTGCTACCTCTCCTACTCTGTACGGTATCGGCTCGGGAAAGCACCATTTCAGTGTTTAGTATACCCAGTAAGCGTCAAACCAGGTTCTGTCGGGCATTGGCGGGAAAGCGTCAACATGAAAGTTGCAAAGAAAACATTAGATAACCGTAAATGAGTTAAGCGTCCTTGATTAAAAAAATGTCTTCGTTACTCATGTTTGAGCATGTCAAACAAACATGTGTTTTGTATGTTAAACAAACAAGCTAGAAGTTCTGTTCGATCCAAATTAATCCTATTAGAATGTGAGAAGCCAGATTTTCAAAACAAATAGTTTGATGAAACAATAGATCAGATAGTTTGATAGAACAATAGATCAAACAGTTGTGTTACTTAGCGGTGTAAACTATAAATTGACACGGACTTCATCCTTATAGGTTCATCCCTTATAAATATGAAGTGGAGGAATGATCGTTACTAAACTGGCTAATGCACAGGTTTGAGTTACAATCGCGGAGACGGTCAGAGGCGGTAAACACTTGTCTTTTGACCAGTAGAAGTTCAGATGTAAGAAGAGTCGTGGAAGAAAGAAGTACTGGAACTGTGTATAGTTGCTGGTTGCACAGCATCTGTGGCAACACGGAACCGGGTGTTGCATGCTGTCCTACGGGTGAACCACACCAACCCTTCTGTACCCTTCGAGATGGAGAGTGAAGTGTTCAAGTCCAAACTGATTTACCGAGCAAAGACCGAGACAGCACCAGTTCCAGCCATCTAATATGGAGATGAAGTTCCCCGAGTGCGACGTCACCACAACGTAGTTCAGACCAGCTTCTGATGGAGATACCTTCCTTTGCTTCCCTGAAAACCATTTTGTACAGACAGCGCCATAAGAGTATCCCATTAATTATAGTTATAATTAAAATTCGTATCTTGTATCCAGGAAATAGATAGATTTAAAATATTTTAATGAGATTTTTTATATCGATTTGTTCGAATTACCATACTCCCAGAAACAAACTATTGTTATATGTTAATACATTCGATATTTTCATCACTATATAACAGTTAATGACATTTATTCAACAAGAAGATAACATTTTTACCTCGGAGTTGGAAAGTCTGCCAAAAAAGCAATAAGATATATGCAAAGAATATTTTCATTTTATTTGTCTTTATGAAAATTATAACTTGAACACTCATTATGCGTCATCTCACAAGTTGAGTTACTCATCAATTTACCCTTGACGTTGACGTTTCACAGCAACTGGTCAGACAAAGGCAATGTTGTAATAAACAAGGGCTAGAATAGGTAAGAAATGAACAAATCTCTTTTGTAGATCCACAAATATGTGTATTGCAACAAGTGTGTCTATTGATTACCGATAAATTGATAATATCAACTCAAAACTCTTCTTAACTCATCAAAACTGAGTGCTGTTGTAAATTCAAATGTAATTTAGGCGAGTTATTTTGTTTGACAACGTCAAAATTAGTGAACTAACAAGCACCACACCATGCTGATTTTCACTAAGATAGACCTAGGACAAGTCAGAACCTATCCTAGTATTTGTTCTAAGTTAGGATATCCTAGCGGACCTAAAGCTGTCTTAATTGACGGACCTAAAGCTGTCTTAATTGACGGACCTAAAGCTGTCTTAATTGACGCAGTTGAAGCTGTCTTAATTGACGCAGTTGAAGCTGTCTTAATTGACGCAGCTGAAGATGTCTTAATTGCTATAGCTGCTTAATTGACGGAGCTAAAGCTGTCTTAATTGACAGAGCTAAAGCTGTCTTAGTTGACAAAGCTAAAGCTGTCTTAATTGACAGAGCTAAAGCTGCGTAAATTTACGGAGCTCAAGCTGTGCTAATTGACGGAGCTTAAGCTGTCTTAATTGGCGGACCTACAGCTGTCTTAATTGACGGAGCTAAAGCTGTCTTAATTGACGGAGCTAAAGCTGTCTTAACTGACAGAGCTAAAGCTGTCTTAATTGACACGGTAGTCTGTCGTACAGACCCTGAAGCAAATATATCCAAGAAAGCCCACGAAAGTCTAGAAAATACAAGCCATGCTACTGTTATTGTTGTGTCATCCTTGATTAGCATGTTGAAGAGACAAACAGAGAAATATAAATCATTAGGCTCAAAGCAGTGTACCTCAACGACGTAGGCATTTGTGACTTTATCCATAAATTTTGAAAAGACATTGTCATGGGGATCTGATGGCATATTGTTATCCCCCGCAACAACAAAGATGCGGGGAATATAGAAACGAGTTCCGTCCGTCCATGCGTCCGTCACGCTTTGTCCGAAGCATATAAACCTGGTACACATTTCAAGCATGATCCATAAATGTGCCATGTGATGGTTAGACCCAGATATGAATGTTATTTTTTGCGGTTTCCACGTGACTTGGTACACATGGTAAACTTGGTACACATATCAAGCATGATCCATAAATGTGCCATTTAATGGTTAGACCCAGATATGAATTTTATATTTTTGCTGTTTCCATGGAAACATGACTTAGGCTGTGACTATGAGGATGTGATCTTGAGCAGATCTTCCAAACTATACATGCAAGCTTCATCAAACTTGGAACATATGTCAAGTATGATCCATAGATGTGCCTTTTGGGGTTTAGACCCAGATATGAGTTTCAGCTGTCTGAATTGACGGGTATAAAACTGTCTTAGTATGAAAGTCGAGAACTTGTGATCGTGTAATTACACACAGGTAAATAGGTCAGCATTCACAGAATGTTCTGAGCATAGGTCATACAAATCTAATCAAATATACTCTTCACAAAAAGAAACTACACATAGGAAAAATTTGAATTTTAGGAAAATATTTGACACAAACCAATCCATGCTGAATCCCAACATGTAGGGGAATGGTTGCCGACGACACAACGTTTGAAAAAAGAAAAGTTGAACAAAAACGTAACGTTACACTCACGTCTGTAATGAATCGCTAAAACGCACACAACAAAAAATGCACGTACATTATGAAATTGTGTATCACCTTGAGCTGAAGCCTTTGACTGTAGGCTTTAAACAGCCACATCAATGGTACTCTACATGCATTGTTTTAATCCACTATAGACGACAAGAGAATGAAAACACTGACAGAAGCTCAACGACACAACACCATACAACAGGCATCGCAGCATGATGTGGCAAAGCACTTCAGCGTGTGATCTTTGGAGCATGACAATGCTCGACCTCACATTGCACGTGTCTGCCAGGACTTCCACCAGCAAAACAATTGTTCAGTTGTTACCTTGGCCTTCTCGATCACCCGATTTGTTCCCCACTGAACATCTATTGGATACTCTTTATCGACGCTTGCGCCAGCGTAATCCGCCACCTCAGACACTACAAGAACTGCACACAGCACTTTAGACTAAGGCTTAGTCTCTGAATATATATAATTTGATAGTAACAAACAAGCCCATTTATATTGAAAAGGAGCCCTAGGGAGACCAGAGAACCTGAGGAAATCTAGACTTGCTTTATTTGGGGCTTTAGCACAGCAGAGAGGGCTTGGCAGTAGGGAAATTAATGTGGTTCAGGGACTGTGAGACAGACTAACAGCACTTCAGCGAGAGTATCAAAACATTCCTCAAGAAAGCATTCGGCATCTCCTTTCTTCTATGGGTCACCGCTGGCAAGCTGTTATTGATGCTCATGGTGGTCACACCAGATACTGACATTTTACTCTCAAACCGAAACATGAGTCTCATTAAGCAATTCAGACAATGACCTACTTTTCAGCCGATCAGAAATTTTCTCGTGTGAAAGTGAAAAGAGACACTACACACAACTATAGTTACACGAAAATCCAATTGCTTGTTTCACATGAAAATGGTATTTACAAATGAAGTTTAATTTTAAACTTTAAAACAATCGTATTTCTATATTTTGTGGCGAGGTTTAGAGAGCATTACCTTAACTAAGACGTCACAACATTGAGGTCGTACAATGATTCACAATTTATCTGGCTCACTGGTTACACCTGTTATGTGTTCTTTGCGCTTATTCAGTGTATTTTGTAATGTGATTGATATAATATCAAGTCCGTTCCAGATTGCAAAACTTTTTAAGCGGCCGATCCCTGTTTTGAAATTTCCACGATTTCCAGATTACCGTTTGTCAGAGCACGCGTTTGCAAGGATTAGAAGGAGCGTAGAGTTGCAATATACAAGTGATTAGATGTATCAAATAATACTGATTAATATCTATACATGCAGCTGAATGAGTTGGTCTCACAATTCTGGACTGGTTATTGTACTAAGTTGCGCAGTGAGCCTAAACCCAGTCAGCAGGAACGAGACTGTTCTGTAATCAATGTTTTGACTTGAGCAAGTGGCTTTAATAGCCCTCTTTGGTTTTACCAACACTTTCTGGATAATCATGTTTCGAAATTTGTAAAGTGATGATTTTACTGTAATTGAGCAATGATGTCATGTTTGAGTCAGTTATATGCACTCAGTAAGTAAACTCCAAAACAGCACGCATAGTTTCTTTTTTTTAAGAGTATATCATAATTTCAAATTCGATAGATCCACGTTAAACCGATAAATGTCGAAGGAATTTTCTAGCATCTAATTCTTGTGTAAGGGGCCCTGACTATAGCCTCTCATCTCACATTACACCCCTAACCCAAAGAAGACAAGCGTTTTGTATGACCACATTAAACCCTGGATTCTCACTGTATAGCCCTTTATCCCACGTTGGATTGCTGTTGCTGAGTGAATGAGTGTGGTTTTACGCTGCTTTTAGCATTATTCCAGCAATATCACGACGGAGGACACAAGAAATGATCATCACACATTGTGACCATGTGGGGTTTCGAACCCGGGTCTTCGATGTGAAAACTTTAACCACTAGGCCACCCACGGCCCCTGTTGCTGAGAAGTGAATATAACTATCATTGTCGTCATTGCTATCATCACTACTGCTAAATCATATCCTTTTTTAGTTTGCATTGTCACATAATTTGTACTGACATAGTGATACCTCTGGATTGATGTTTATTTCACGCCTGATTCTTTTATGGACTGATGACCGGTGAACTGCCGAGTTATGAAGCAACACCTAAATGGGGAAAATAATTAAACAATGAACGATACTCCTCAACAAATCTATTTCATACTTTCCAGTGTCAAATTGGGTGTGGAGTGTGAAGGTGTTGCCATGGGTACTTACACTATATACCTACTCTATAGATATTAACAACATTCTGCCAAGGAAAGTAGTGCGATCAACATTGTTTATTTGTATCTCTGACGTCAAACAAGGTTAGAATGTCATCGTTTACATTTATTTAATTTATTTCTTGTTACACTTTTGTTGTTCTCGATCATTATTTTATTTTCCAAAAGATTTTGAATTTTCTCAGATTAATATTGTTTGAATGTAATTAAACGAAAACAGGAAGTACATAATAAATGTTATATATCATTTGTCTAGTGATATTGTGACTTGAAATATTTGATATGTTACTAAACACATGAAGAGTCCTGTATATATATCTATATTTCCAAGTGTTGTCACCATCTAAGATAACATCTATATTCCCTGGTGGTTTCTCCATATACGATAATATCTATGCCCTTGTGAAGTGTCCATATTCGATAATGACCATTTTGCCTTTTGGCGTCTCCATATAGAATAATGTCAGTATTCCCTTGTGGTGTGTCCATATAAGATACTGTCTACATCCAATTGTTGTGTCTATATATATATGATAATGTCCAAAATTCCCTTGCGGTGTCTTCCCCAGGGGTGTACATATTCGACAATGTCCATATTCTCTTGTGGTGTCTCCATATGCGATATTGTCCACATTCACTTGCGGTGTCTCCACATATAATAATGTCTATATTCCCTTGTAGTATCTTCATATGCGATAATGCCCACATTCCACTACTGGACCGTGGCCATCTATTGAACACAAGTCTTATCTTGTCATCATATATATATGGTATTTTCTATATTCCTTAGAAGGGTCATCATATATGGTAATATCTAGTCCCTAGTGGGGTTATCATATGTGATAATATCTGTATTCCCTAGTGGTGTTACCATATGTGATAATATGTATATTCCTTAATAGGTTCATCATATAAGGTAATATCTATGTTCCCTAGTGTGGTCACATATATTGTGATATCTATATTCCCTAGTGGGGTCACATATGGTAATATCTATATTCCCTAGTTGGAGTCATCATACATGGTAATATCTATATTCCCTAGTTGAGGTCATCATACATGGTAATATCTATATTCCCTAGTTGAGGTCATCATACATGGTAATATCTATATTCCCTAGTGGGGTCATATATTTGATAATGTCTTTATTCTCTGGTGGTGTCATCAACTGACAATGCCAGCGTCCCTTGCCAGGTTGTAAAAGACACTACCCTTGTCCTCAAGGAGCTTGTCAGGAGACTCAAACTCCAGGATCTGCCCTGCAGACAAAACCAGGATCCTGAAACAGAAACTGCCTGTATTAGAGAATATAAGAATGTGACATGCAAAGTGAAACCAATAATGCTTGGATCAGTCAATGAATTGTGGATCTATGTACAGTAATTTGATTAAAAGTACATACTAAATCTATCAGATCATAACTGAAACTGTATTATATTAAAAAATATCCAGACCTGTGAAAGTCCAGGATGAAGTCTTTTTCTGTGAACTATAACGATGACACACTCACCCATAATAGTCCAGGATAGTGTTCAGCCTGAGAGCTATAGTGATGACCCACCCCTTGTCATAGTCCAGAATAGTGTTCAGCCTGTGAGCTACAGTGATGACCCACCCCTGTCATTCCAGGATAGTGCTCAGCCTGTGAGCTGTAATGATGACCCACACACCTATCATAGTCCAGAATAGTGTTCAGCCTGTGAGCTGTAATGATCACCCATCCCTGACATAGTCCAGAATAGTGTTCATCCAGTGAATTATAGTGATGATCCACCCCATGTCATAATCCAGGATAGTGTTCAGCCTGTGAGCTATAGTGATGACCCACTCACTTGCCACAGTCCAGGATAATGTTCAGTCTGTGAGCTATAACGATGACCTACTCACCTGTCATAGTCCAGGATAGTGTTCAGCCTGTGAGCTGTAACAGTGACCCACTCACCTGTCTTAGTGCAGGATAGTGTTCAGCCTGTGAGCTATATCGATGACTCACCTGTCATAGTCCAGGATAGTGTTCAGCCTGTGAGCTATTGTGATGACTGTACAGTCACTGAAGGCGGTTCTGATGGTGCTCTGGATGAGGTCATCCGTCTCCATGTCAACAGCTGCCGTGGCTTCATCCAGGATCAGCACCTTCGTCCTCCTCAGCAGACTCCGAGCAAGACAGACCAACTGACGCTGTCCTACACTGGAATACAACACACGACAGTGACTCTGTTGTCAGACGCTCCAGACTACACAGACCAACTGACGCTGTCCTACCCTGGAATACAACATACTACAGTGACTCTGTTGTAAGACGCTCAAGACTAGACAGACCAACTGACGCTGTCCTACACTGGAATACAGCATACTACAGTGACTCTGTTGTTAGACGCTCCAGACTAGACAGACCAACTGACGCTGTCCTACACTGGAATACAACACACGACAGTAACTCTGTTGTCAGACGCTCCAGACTAGACAGACCAACTGACGCTGTCCTACACTGGAATACAACACACTGCAATGTCTCTGTTGTTAGACGCTCCAGACTACACAGACCAACTGACGCTGTCCTACACTGGAATACAACACACGACAGTGACTCTGTTGTTAGACGCTCCAGACTACACAGACCAACTGACGCTGTCCTACACTGGAATACAACACAATGCAGTGACTCTGTTGTTAGACGCTCCAGACTACACAGACCAACTGACGCTGTCCTATACTGAAATACAACACACTGCAGTGACTCTGTTGTTAGACGCTCCAGACTAGACAGACCAACTGACGCTGTCCTACACTGGAATACAACACACTGCAGTGACTCTGTTGTTAGACGCTCCAGACTACACAGACCAACTGACGCTGTCCTATATCGGAATACAACACACTGCCATGACTCTGTTGTTAGACGCTCCAGACTAGACAGACCAACTGACGCTGTCCTACCCTGGAATACAACACACTGCAGTGACTCTGTTGTTAGACGCTCCAGACTAGACAGACCAACTGACGCTGTCCTACACTGGAATACAACACACTGCAGTGACTCTGTTGTTAGACGCTCCAGACTACACAGACCAACTGACGCTGTCCTATATCGGAATACAACACACTGCAATGACTCTGTTGTTAGACGCTCCAGACTACACAGACCAACTGACGCTGTCCTATATCGGAATACAACACAATGCAATGACTCTGTTGTTAGACGCTCCAGACTACACAGACCAACTGACGCTGTCCTATACTGGAATACAACACAATGCAATGACTCTGTTGTTAGACGCTCCAGACTACACAGACCAACTGACGCTGTCCTATACTGAAATACAACACACGACAGTAACTCTGTTGTTAGACGCTCCAGACTACACAGACCAACTGACGCTGTCCTATACCGGAATACAACACACTGCAATGACTCTGTTGTTAGACGCTCCAGGCTAGACAGACCAACTGACGCTGTCCTATACCGGAATACAACACACTGCAATGACTCTGTTGTTAGACGCTCCAGGCTACACAGACCAACTGACGCTGTCCTATACCGGAATACAACACACTGCAATGACTCTGTTGTTAGACGCTCCAGGCTACACAGACCAACTGACGCTGTCCTACACTGGAATACAACACACTGCAATGACTCTGTTGTTAGACGCTTCAGACTACACAGACCAACTGACGCTGTCCTACACTGGAATACAACACACTGCAATGACTCTGTTGTTAGACGCTCCAGACTAGACAGACCAACTGACGCTGTCCTACACTGGAATACAACACACTGCAGTGACTCTGTTGTTAGACGCTCCAGACTACACAGACCAACTGACGCTGTCCTATACCGGAATACAACACAATGCAGTGACTCTGTTGTTAGACGCTCCAGACTACACAGACCAACTGACGCTGTCCTATACCGGAATACAACACACTGCAATGACTCTGTTGTTAGACGCTCCAGGCTACACAGACCAACTGACGCTGTCCTACACTGGAATACAACACACTACAGTGACTCTGTTGTCAGACGCTCCAGGCCAGACAGACCAACTGCCGTGTACTGTACAATAGAACACACATACTTGACAGTCACTCCAGACTAGACACGCCAATTGTGTTTTTCTCCTTTGCAACAGAACACACGAGATTATGTGCTTGGCAGTTTCCCCGGATAGACCGACCAATCAACTTCACTACCTCAGATTCTGCCCCCCTTCACATCCGATGTTAAAGTTAAGCTGCGTGAGGCGGAGTTGTTTTACCCTAAATTCTGCCCCTCCTCCCCACACCCATATTATATTCCCGCTAGCGTGAGGGAAGGTGTCCCTACCACAGATTCTGTCCCAACTCACACCAATGTTATAGTTCCACTAGAGGAAGGGAAGGTGTCCCTTCCCCAGATTCTGTCCCAACTCACACCAATGTTATAGTTCCACTAGAGGAAGGGAAGGTGTCCCTTCCCCAGATTCTGTCCCAACTCACACCAATGTTATAGTTCCGCTAGAGGAAGGGAAGGTGTCCCTTCCCCAGATTCTGTCCCAACTCACACCAATGTTATAGTTCCACTAGAGGAAGGAAGGTGTCCTTCCCCAGATTCTGTCCCAACTCACACCCATGTTATAGTTCCACTAGAGGAAGGGAAGGTGTCCCTTCCCCAGATTCTGTCCCAACTCACACCCATGTTATAGTTCCACTAGAGGAAGGGAAGGTGTCCCTTCCCCAGATTCTGTCCCAACTCACACCCATGTTATAGTTCCGCTTAAAGATGGGAAGGTGTCCCTTCCCCAGATTCTGTCCCAACTCACACCCATGTTATAGTTCCACTAGAGGAAGGGAAGGTGTCCCTTCCCCAGATTCTGTCCCAACTCACACCCATGTTATAGTTCCGCTTAAAGATGGGAAGGTGTCCCTTCCCCAGATTCTGTCCCAACTCACACCCATGTTATAGTTCCGCTTAAAGATGGGAAGGTGTTCCTACCTTAGATTCTGCCCCCCTTCTTCACACTCATGCTGTAGGCCGGCAGAGAGGGAGGTTACGTATGCCTTGAGATGGGCCTGCTCCAGGGCTTGCCATACTTCATCATCAGAGTGGGCATCAGATGGGTCCAGGTTCATCCGCAGGGATCCAGAAAACAGCACAGGTTCCTGACAATAAGACGATGTGTATATCCAAGATATAGTAAAGATTAGCTAGAGTGCACAGTCCATCATTCCAGAAAGTGATCTCATCTGAAGGATGAGTGAGTGAGTGAGTTTAGTTTTCCGCCGCACTCAGCAATATTCCAGCTATATGGCGGCGGTCTGTAAATAATCGAGTCTGAACCAGACAATGCAGTGATTAACAGCATGAGCATCGATCTACCCATTTGGGATACGATGACATGTGTTAACCAAGTCAGCGAGTCTGACCACCGGATGCAATAAGGCGATGTACCCGGAAATTGCTTCGTGGAAGACCCTCAGTCCTCACCTAACAACAATGTGCCCATTTATATCGCTCCAAATCACACTTTATTATAATAAGTACATCATAACCCCTGTCAATACGTTAGAATGCAGTAGTGCTGGCTATCGATATAGATCACATAGGTCGATAATCCTTAACTGATTATTGATCGATTATCGATAAATATCGGAGAAGTTTCAGCAAACATGCTAAAACAGTCTGAACGAAATCAACATATTTCACAACGCTAGTGACATAGGTAGGGTTACATTACCGAACAAACATTGCCCTGAACATCATTTGGAAGCAGCCAATGAATAAGATCCAATTTTGTGTATTGACTGTAAATTAATCAAATACGATTAATAGACGATATTATTGATGACACAATTTTCTAATAGATATTTAGTAATGTTCCTATCGACGATAATTCAGATTACCGATAATTTTAGCCAGCCCTAGTATGCAGTCGATTTTCATTCTCGGCGCCCCTTGGATCATACAACTCACTTGTGGTAAGATGGTGAGTCTAGAACGGAGGTCATGCAGACCAACGTCGGCGATGTCCTGTCCGTCGATGGAGATACTCCCTTCTTCAGCTTCCCAAGATGCGGAACAGGGCTAAGGTCAAGGACGACTTACCTGCCCCTGTCCTGCCAACGACACCAACCTGGACGAAAAAACAAAACACAAACCAGTCCTGTATCAGCATGTAGTTCCATGTTCACGGTATCATGTTATCACGGTACCGAGTTCCAACAGGCACATGTTTTAGACAGGATCAGTGTGTGAGTGATTAGCTATAGCTATTGTTTTTGCTAATATCTTAGTTTGTATGTTTGGACAGGAGCTAAAAGCGTGACACAGCTTCTACATAACGTCATTTAGCCTAAAAATGCACAATACGTGAAATGAATTCAATTGATTATTATTATTTAATATTATTTATTATTATTGGATATTCATATAGCGCACATATCCACACACTAGTGCATGCTCAAGGCGCTGGTATTTTTCCCTCGATCTTTGGATGTCAGTCTCAACGGCACATCGCATTATCAATCTCAACCCCCTGGGGAGTATACAACTCTTGCAGCCACTAGGCGCACCGAGTTATTGTGGCTTCCTCATCCTAACGAGGTATGTTGTAAAGACGTCGAAATTGGTCGATTTCTCGGCTTTTCTGATTCGCGCCGAAAGACGTGTCAAGAAATAGTTCAAATGTAAACCAAATATAATGTGTCATGACCAAATGATATAGGGTTTATAATCCATGACTATTCAGCTTATAAGATAAGTCGATTTCATAAACATGTACTACTTGGAAATATCAAAATCTTGAAGTTTGGGACATCGATCTCTACAGGGATCGACTGTCTATCGAGGAAATGGTAGTTGATGACGACCAACATCCGGTTGAGCATAGACAGGGCTTACCCCCATTGTTTTAGACAGGATTAACTACATACGTGCAAAACAATATCTTCCTATATACATATAATGCTTAAGTGCGTACGTTTCGCGCCCTTGGTGGTTGTTCAGGGTGGTGGGCGGAAGTCAAAAGTTTGTGGTGACCGTTCAAACGTCAGCTGAAGCCATGCTTGTTGTCGTTGTCGAATAGTGGCCGGTTGATGTTGTCGAATAGGAACCGGTTGATGTTAAAGACGTCACAGGAGGAAACGAAACAAGGAACGTTGAGTGACCGTCCGTCCCGTCCTGTCCATGAACCCGTTACACTGACTGACCATGTCACCCCCTAACTTCACATAAATAACTATGTGGGTAAAATGTAATTTGAAATCATGTTATTATATTATGATTGCGCTAAAGAACTTGGCTCTGTCTTTACATGTCGAACGTTGTCGCAGCGCACACTGAGTCGGGAACCAGACCGGAAGCGAGAAGTTGGACCGTCGCTTACATATTTCAAAAGGAGGGTTATCGCCCCTCACAACAAAAAAATCGCCCATTGACCGATTCTGTGTAAGGTTGAAATTCACATATGGAAAGTTTTGTGTTCCTCCACTAACCAACCAACCTTCTGTCCTGATGTGATACGAGCCGATATTCCTTTCAGGACCACGTCTAGTTCTGGGCGGTACCTCACTTGCAGTTTGTCCAGTTCTACCTGCCCCTCCTCCGGCCACTCCGGGGGTGGACGATGATCAGTAACTATCCAAGCTCCCTAAGTGTGTGAAAAAAAATCAAGTATGCGTTAGGCAGAGATGACAGATTCCAGCTTCATTATTACCCAATGCATTGGCAGAATAAACGAACAGAGTAATTGAGTGATTGAGTGAGTGAAGTTTTACGCCGCTTTTAGCAATATTGAAGCAATATCACGGTGGGGGACACCAGAAATGGGCTTCACACATTGTGCCCATGTGAGATAGACAAAGAAATTTAATCAATCAGAGTGATAGAGTTTAGTTTTACGTCGTATTTTAGCAATATTCATGCAATATCACGACGAGGGACACCAGAAATGACACCCCCTAAGATAAAAGGGGCGGGTCTAAGCGATTTGATGTTCATTTGTGTTCAAGGTCAAAGTGATATTTCTGAGTAGTTTTCAACTGAGACTTGTGTTCTTAAGCTATCGTCAACTTGATTACATTGATTACAGTTGTTTTGTGAGAAACACAAAACTCTATTTGTAGGTTTGAATGGCATGAATCAGATTTACCAGAAATGGCTAGTCACTTAATACAACAGTGCTCATCATGACAGTGATGTCTTAAACAGTGTTTTTATGGGAAATTCAAATATCCGTCACTCCATAAGTTGACACAATACCCATACTCTCAAACCACTACCACGTGACGTTAATCACTCCATCTCCTGACACTTGACCCCTACCACTCAGCTACTACTCCATCAAAGGAGTTTCCTAAACTGACCTCTGTCGGGAGGTTTGTGTACTCCACGATTCTCTCCACGGACACGATGTTTGTCTCCAGCTGTGTCGTCACTTGAACCAGCATGTTGAGCGCTGCCGTCACCTTGGAGCATAAAAATATAATATGTTATACAGTCCATGGTTGCGACCCCGTGCCTGTGCATGACCGACAGCTCATCATTGTCATGTCTGAATGTGCATGGCAGACAGCCCCATCATTATAATGAGTGCGCATGGCAGACAGTTCCATTATTGTCATGTCTGAATGTGCATGGCAGACAGCCCCATCATTATAATGAGTGCGCATGGCTGACAGTTCCATTATTGTCATGTCTGTGCATGGTAGTCAGTCCAATCATCATAATGCGTGCGCATCATTGTCATGTCTGTCCATGGGAGACTGTTCCATCATTGTCATGTCTGTCCATGGGAGACTGTTCCATCATTGTCATGTCTGTGCATGGTAGTCAGTCCAATCATCATAATGCGTGCGCATCATTGTCATGTCTGTCCATGGGAGACTGTTCCATCATTTTCATGTCTGTCCATGGGAGACTGTTCCATCATTGTCATGTCTGTGCATGGTAGTCAGTCCAATCATCATAATGCGTGCGCATCATTGTCATGTCTGTCCATGGGAGACTGTTCCATCATTATAATAAGTGCGCATGGCAGACAGTTTCATTATTGTCATGTCTGTGCATGGCAGACAATCCCGTCATTGTCATGTCTGTCCATGGGAGACTGTTCCATCATTGTCATGTCTGTGCATGGGAGACTGTTCCATTATTGTCATGTCTGTGCATGGCAGACAATCCCGTCATTGTCATGTCTATCTATGAGAGACTGTTCCATCATTGTCATGTCTGTCCATGGGAGACTGTTCCATCATTGTCATGTCTGTCCGTGGGAGACTGTTCCATTATTGTCATGTCTGTCCATGGGAGACTGTTCCATCATTGTCATGTCTGTCCATGGGAGACTGTTCCATTATTGTCATGTCTGTGCATGGCAGACAATCCCGTCATTGTCATGTCTGTCCATGGAGACTGTTCCATCATTGTCATGTCTGTCCATGGGAGACTGATCCATCATTGTCATGTCTGTCCATGGGAGACTGTTCCATCATTGTCATGTCTGTCCATGGGAGACTGTTCATTCATTGTCATGTCTGTCCATGGCAGACTCATCCCTCATTTTCATGTCTGTCCATGGGAGACTGTTCCATTATTGTCATGTCTGTGCATGGCAGACAATCCCGTCATTGTCATGTCTGTCCATGGCAGACTGATCCCTCATTGTCATGTCTGTCCATGGGAGACTGTTCATTCATTTTCATGTCTGTCCATGGCAGACTCATCCCTCATTTTCATGTCTGTCCATGGGAGACTGTTCCATTATTGTCATGTCTGTGCATGGCAGACAATCCCGTCATTGTCATGTCTGTCCATGAGAGACTGTTCCATTATTGTCATGTCTGTGCATTGCAGACAATCCCGTCATTGTCATGTCTGTCCATGGCAGACTGATCCATCATTGTCATGTCTGTGCATGGCAGACAATCCCATCATTGTCATGTCTGACTGTGCATGGCAGACTGATCCCTCATTGTCATGTCTATCCATGGGAGACTGTTCCATCATTGTCATGTCTGTCCATGGGAGACTGTTCCATCATTGTCATGTCTATGCATGGCAGACTGATCCATCATTGTCATGTCTATCCATGGGGGCTGTTCCATCATTGTCATGTCTGTCCATGGGAGACTGTTCCATCATTGTCATGTCTGTCCATGGAGACTGTTACATCATTGTCATGTCTATCCATGGAAGACTGTTCCATCATTGTCATGTCTATCCATGGGAGACTGTTCCATCATTGTCATGTCTGTCCATTGGAGACTGTTCCATCATTGTCATGTCTGTCCATGGGAGACTGTTCCATCATTGTCATGTCTGTGCATGGCAGACTGATCCCTCATTGTCATGTCTGTCCATGGGAGACTGTTCCATCATTGTCATGTCTATCCATGGGAGACTGTTCCATCATTGTCATGTCTATCCATGGGAGACTGTTCCATCATTGTTATGTCTGTGCATGGCAGACAGCCCCATCATTATAATAAGTGCGCATGGCAGACAGTTCCATTATTGTCATGTCTGTGCATGGCAGTCAGTCCAATCATCATAATGCGTGCGCATCATTGTCATGTCTGACTGTGCATGGCAGACTGATCCATCATTGTCATGTCTGTGCATGGCAGACAATCCCGTCATTATAATGAGTGCGCATGGCAGACAGTTCCATTATTGTCATGTCTATGCATGGCAGTCAGTCCAATCATCATAATGCGTGCGCATCATTGTCATGTCTGACTGTGCATGGCAGACAATCCCATCATTGTCATGTCTGTCCATGGCAGACAGCCCCATCATTATAATGAGTGCGCATGGCAGACAGTTCCATTATTGTCATGTCTATGCATGGCAGTCAGTCCAATCATCATAATGCGTGCGCATCATTTTCATGTCTGACTGTGCATGGCAGACAATCCCATCATTGTCATGTCTGTCCATGGGAGACTGTTCCATCATTGTCATGTATGTGTGGCAGACAGTTCCATTATTGTCATGTCTGCGTGTATGGCAGACAGTTCCATCAGTCAAGTCAAGTCAGTGCATGGCAGACCTCCAATCATTATAATGCCTGTGCATGACCGACAGCACATCATTGTCATGTCTGTTCATGGGAGACAGACCCATCATTGTAATGCGTGTGCATGGCAGACAGACCAATCATTATAATGCCTGTGCATGACCGACAGCTCATCATTGTCATGTCTGTTCATGGGAGACGCTCCCATCATTGTCATGTCTGACTGTGCGTTGGAGAGTGTTCCATCATTGTCATGTCTGTGCATGGCAGACAGTCCCACCATTGTCATGTCTGAGTGGCAGACAGTCCCATTATCATGTGTGTGTGGCCGACACAGCGCGCTTCACAGACAGTCCCACCATTGTCCTACCTGTCTAGCGTAGACTACAGACAGTCCCAACATTGTCCTACCTGTACAGCGTACACCACAGACAGTCCCACCATTGTCCTACCTGTACAGCGTACATCACAGACAGTTCCATCATTGTCCTACCTCTACAGCGTACATCACAGACAGTTCCATCATTGTCCTACCTGTACAGCGTACATCACAGGCAGTTCCATCATTGTCCTACCTCTACAGCGTACATCACAGACAGTTCCATCATTGTCCTACCTGTCTAGCGTAGACTACAGACAGTCCCAACATTGTCCTACCTGTACAGCGTACATCACAGACAGTCCCACCATTGTCTCACCCGCACAGTGTACACTACAGACAGTTCCATCATTGTCCTACCTGTACAGCGTACATCACAGACAGTCCCACCATTGTCCTACCTGTACAGCGTACATCACAGACAGTTCCATCATTGTCCTACCTGTACAGCGTACATCACAGACAGTTCCATCATTGTCCTACCTGTACAGCGTACATCACAGACAGTCCCACCATTGTCCTACCTCTACAGCGTACATCACAGACAGTCCCTACCATTGTCCTACCTAAACTGGCGTACAGCGTACATCACAGACAGTCCCAGTTCCATCATTGTCCTACCTGTACAGCCTGTACAGCGTACATGTACAGCGTACATCACAGACAGTTCCATCATTGTCCTACCTGTACAGCGTACATCACAGACAGTTCCATCAATGTCCTACCTGTACAGCGTACATCACAGACAGTCCCACCATTGTCCTACCTCTACAGCGTACATCACAGACAGTCCCACCATTGTCCTACCTGTACAGCGTACATCACAGACAGCCCCACCATCCCACCTGACATCCCCGGGGTCACCACAGCAAAAAAGACGGCGCTCAGAATGACCACATTGCCTAGGAATTCTAGTCGCAGTTTCAACCACCTGGAAATATTCGAAAGCAAATATAACTGATGGGAACATCATAATTCAGTGTGACGGTGGACATCTCTCAGTGTAGGGATCACGACAAATACAGGTGACAATGCTTGTTTGAGAGATATAGATGTGTTTTGTTAAGATTTCGCCAATGTTCACTGATTTTTAGCATTTATTGAACTTATGACAATAATCTTTTCAACGTTACGAAGTTATTTTACAATACATCAGTTCATGTATAAACAGTACCTTTAAACAGTTTGGAATATTTTGCAAACTTTTGTTTAGAACCGTTGCCAGAAGTAGGTGGCTCCTTTTACACTAGTGAGTCTTAACATTTGATGGGAAGTATGTTTGAAAATATGATTTTCTGATTTTCAGTAATTGAGACACATGCACTGCCATGTAAGATAATATTATTATAAATCCACTGTTTATTAACGCCCGATGTCGGGTTATTTCATATTGGCTAAGATTGATGAGACAACCAATTTCACGATATTAAAGATGTAGTTATGAAATGCTTAAAACACTAGATGATACAGGAGATATTAATTGGTTTCCTTCGTTAGAACTATTCTTTTTAGTCATGGCTTTGGAAATGTATGGCTCGCTCAAAATGTAAGTAATACACAATATTTCATCGAAGTATTCAAGCAGAGATACAAAGACATTTATCAACAGGACTGGTATAATGAAATAACGTCATCAACCGGTGTCATCTTTTATTAGGATTATAAATATTGTATTAATACAGAAATTTACCTTTCAAAGATTAAATCACCACAACTTAAGCGTACGCTTACTAAATTTAGATGTAACGCTTACAACTTCAAAGTCCAAGCGGCGCGATTTGCCATAACTTCAACTGCAACAGATATCCAATGTCCATTCTGCAATTTATCGCAAGAAGATGAGTACCATGTATTACTTGTATGCCCGAAATATTTAGAAATAAGAGAAACATATGTGCCTTATTTTTTCTATAACCTACCGTCGAGACAAAAAATATGTATGCTACTTCGCACAGAAAATATTTACTTGTTGTTTAAGGTAGCCCTTGTGTTGTAACACATACTTATGTTGAGAGAAAAAATGTAAATTGTAAATGGGTGTTTATGGATTTATTGATGTTCCTATAACTCGCGTATTTACAGGTTGTGCATAAATGCACTGTTATTATTGTACACATGTACTATTGGCCTCAGGGCCACATATACAAATAAATATGTCTGTCTGTCTGACATAAGACTGACGAGTGGATTAACACAGCAAATGTCTCACTTCATGATTAACACAACACACGATTGACGAGTCCATTAACACAGGACATGTCTCACCTGTTGATAAACACAACATAAGACTAACGAGTGGATTAACACAGCACATGTCTGACCTCTTGATTAACACAGCCCACGACTGACGAGTGGGTTAACTCAAACTCAAACTCTTTATTCTCTACAAGCCGCCAACGGCGGTACATGAGATAAACGTATATACATTTACATAATATACAAGACACCAGCTTACACGATAGAAAGATATAAGATAATTACAATATTTCATTTTTTAAATGCATTAAATACATGGTTCAGTAATTTAGAAAGGCCTTTAAGGTCGCTTATGCTGGTAGTAGACAAGAGTTTCTTAAAGATGGACAAATTTGGAAATTCTAGGTATTTAGTGTTCAGAGACTGACGTCGGAATTGGAGAAAAGCTTTACATCTAAACAAGTAGTGAAACTCGTCTCCAACAGCGTTTGATTCACAAAGTGGACATTGTCTGTCTTCACGTGGAATGCCCAACCATCGGCCTGTCTCAATTGGTAATTTATGGTTAGATGTTCTAAACTTCAAAATTGGGTAGTATATATTTTTGGGAAGAAGAAGATATTTTCTAAGATTGGTTGAGTTTTGAAATATTTATAATAATCCCCTTGGAACTCGAATCAACATTTGACTTCCAATTTTGGAAAAAACTGGGCTCTATAGGTGTTTTCGACCATTGAGACAAGCCAGGGCGTAGAACATACAGACGGATTTAGAAACACGTAGGATAGACCGCAGTTATCAAGGATATATTTCACAAAACGTAGCCATGGAACTTTATTTGTATTGTCACAGATGTGGTTAACACAGTTATATATAATCTGGGATGGCTTCCAATATGTGTTCTCAGAGGCTAATTTATGCCAATGTGAAATAAATCGCTTATAGATTTTAATACTCAAAGGCTCTCTTCCAAATTCACCGTAAAGCATATAACTTGGGGTGCTATTTCTCAAACCGGAAGCTAATTTCAGAAATTTTAAGTGAATTCTTTCTATTATTTCTAAGTTCTCGTGTCCCCATATTTCTGAGCCATACAACAGAATTGGAACGACCATAACATCAAATGCATCGAAAAGGCAATCTAAAGGTAAATTAACATTCCTGGATTTCTTTAAAAGACAATACATTGCTTTGGTGGCGCTTTCCGTAAGTGATTTAATTGCTTGGACAAATCGCCCATTCCTATGGAATTTAATTCCAAGGTAATCGTATGTATCTACAATATTTATAGTTTCAGTTCCGTAGGTAAAATGGAGTTTCGAAGATTTCGCGGGGGCCGCTTCCAAAGATAACAACTTTCGTTTTAGATAAGTTTACTTTAAGTTTCCATTTCTTACAGTAATGAAAGAAGACATTCAGGGATTTTCACGACTGACGAGTGGGTTAACGCAGCACATGTTTCACCAGTTGATTAACACAACACACGACTCACGAGTTGATTAGCACAGCTTATGTCTCATCTCTTGATTAACACAGTATACGACTGACGAGTGGATTAGCACAGCTTATGTCTCTCCTCTTGATTAACACAACACACGACTGACTAGTGGATTAACACAGCACATGTCTCACCTCTTGATTAACACAGCACACAACTTACGAGAGGTTTAACACAGCACTTGTCTCATCTCTTGATTAACACAGCACACGACTGACGAGTGGATTAACACAGCACATTGCACCCCGGTATGACTCACACATCGCATGCTTTAGGTTTTAATTGTTATACCACGTTTCTCACCTGTAGATTATGAATAACGACTCACCTGTTGGCAGACACCGCAGCGTAGTGGAAGACATTGTTCTTGTTAACGCGCCTTAGGAATTGTCCTATGAACCGTTTGCCCATACCATATGCTCGTATCGAGGTGGCACCACTAATTGTCTCGGAAAAGTGTTGGAAGATCGGGGATCTTGACGTGGAGTCATTCCGTCGGAGCTGGCGGGATGTAGGGATGTACATTCTCTGCAGAAGCAGAAGATCAACGTGTCAATTCTTTCATTTCAATAGGGGTGGTGATGTAGCCTAGTGGTTTAATCGTTAGCTCGTCACGCCGAAATCCCGGGTTCGATTCCCCACCTGGCATAATGTGTTATGCCCATTTCTGGTGTCACCCGCCGTGATATTGCCGGAATATTGCAAAACGCGGCGTAAAACTAACATCAGTCACTTTAATTTCAATAAGTTTATTGAAAACGAGAGCTGTGCACAACGAGAGCTGTGGCTCAAGGTGTAGACAAAGTCTTATGGTATAATGATGCGCAAAAACAATCTGAAAACAGTCCTCCAAACGCTACGACGCTTTCTTGGCCTAATATTAATGCGAAAAGTTCAGAAACATGTTGAAAAGCTATTTGGACGGTCGCGATGAGACACATTATTCTCAGCTGTGTTACAACTTACAGGACCAGTATTGGGACTTTCGCGATAAGAGACATTGTTCTCTCATGCATTACAGCGTACAGGACAAACTAGTATGGGGACGATGAGACACATTGATCTCACCTGTATTACAACGTATAGGAACAGTATTGGGATTTTCGCGATAAGAGACATTGTTCTCTCATGCATTACAGCGTACAGGACAAACTAGTATGGGGACGATGAGACACATTGATCTCACCTGTATTACAATGTATAGACCAGTATTGGGATTTTCGTGACAAGACACATTGTTCTGACCTGTATTACAACGCATAGGACTAGTTTGGTACGATGAGACACATTGTTCTCACCTGTGTTACAACGTACATGACCAGTATTGGTACAATGAGACACATTCTTCTCACCTGTATTTAAAACGTACAGGACCAGTATTGGTACAGTGAGACACATTGTTCTCACCTGTATTACAACGCATAGGACTAGTATTGGTACAATGAGACACATTGTTCTCACCTGTGTTACAACGTACATGACCAGTATTGGGACCATGAGACACATTGTTCTCACCTGTATTACAATGTACAGGACCAGTATTTGGACTATGAGACACATTGTTCTCACCTGTATTACAACGTACAGGACCAGTATTGGGACCACCACGGTGAGAAACAACGGCGTGCTGTAGGAGATGATCGCTATGATGGTGATGAGCCTGGACACATTGTTCAGCCATTGCCTCAAGATCCGCGCCATCTGGCTGTCAATAGTTCCAACATCACGTGTAAACCGGTTCATGATTCGCCCCGTAGGTGTTGTTTCGAAGAATGCCATTGGTTGCCTGAGAACGTTGTCCAGCAGGTTCTCATGGAGAGTGGCAGCAGCGCGGACCATCTGCGTGAAGGTCGCAGCCACAAAGAAGAATATTAGGACGGCTGGAACCAAAATAGGGATGCTTTACTGATACCGCATATGTCACTCTTGTCGTTCATAAGAAGCTCGTTTTGTTTGTTTGATTTTTAACGTCGCACTCAGCAACATCCTGGCTATATGGCGGCGGTCTGTAAATAATCGAGTCTGGACCAGACAATCCGGTCATCAACATTATGAACATCGATCTACACAATTGGGGTACGATTACATGTGCCAAACAAGTCAGCGAGCCTGACCACCCGTTACGACAAGCACCCGTTACGACAAGCAATATAACCTTGATCTTCACGAGTAAATAAGGATGCGCTGGATGGAGCGACAAAGTAAATACCCATGTAGCATGGCTCGTGGAAATGAGGTCAAGTTACGTTTGCCGTTATACAGCCTTTAACCTTTAACCTTGTATTAAATTGCAGCATGAACATTATATGACTTATATATACAAGTGAATTAGAATTGCTACCACTGGGGCCCGATCCACGAAACGTTCGTAGCCCTATGCCATTCGTACGCCTATGACAAGATATAGAGTTACGACTGGTCGTAACTTTACGAACGCTTTGTGGATCGGCACCCAGGACTTCTTCCCCGAAGCGGATGAGCATGAATTACTGTATTCCGAAATTAACCATCACCCTGTGACTGGCAGTTTCTCTTACAAGGCCGCTGCGCAATGAGGACTCGGTGGGTGAAATATTAGCCTGGATGGACAAATGCAATCGAATTTTTACTGTATGCGGTATGATCTAACAGTACATTTATGACTGCATTCATTTTGGCAACAGACAATAGTGCAGCGTTGTATCTCTGTGACAGAAGGTTGCTGAGCTGTACACACAATTACGTAACAATATGTCTCACATGGGAGAAATTCCTGAGCTGTACAATATTACGTAACAATATGTCTCACATGGGAGAAAGTCCCGAGTTGTACAATATAACGTAACAATATGTCTCACATGGGAGAAAGTCCTTAGCTGAACAATATTACGTAACAATATGTCTCATATGGGGGAAATCCTGAGCTGTACAATATTACGTAACAATATGTCTCACCTGGAAGAAATCCTGAGCTGTACAATATTACGTAACAATATGTCTCACCTGGAAGAAATCCTGAGCTGTACAATATTACGTAACAATATGTCTCACTTGGAAGAAATCCTGAGCTGTACAATATTACGTAACAATATGTCTCACCTGGAAGAAATCCTGAGCTGTACAATATTACGTAGCAATATGTCTCACCTGGAAGAAATTAAAGTCCTGAGCCGAACACAGTTACGTAACAGTATGCCGTACGTTGGGAGAAGGTTGCTGAGCAGTTGACTATTTTGTAACAGTAAACCTTACCCTGGGAGAAGGATGCTGAGCAGTTGACTATATCGTAACAGTAAACCTTACCCTGGGAGAAGGTTGCTGGGCAGTTGACTATATCGTAACAGTAAACCTTACCCTGGGAGAAGGTTGCTGAGCAGTTGACTATTTCCAAACAGTAAACCTTACCCTGGGAGAAGGTTGCTGGGCAGTTGACTATTTCCAAACAGTAAACCTTACCCTGGGAGAAGGTTGCTGGGCAGTTGACTATATCGTAACAGTAAACCTTACCCTGGGAGAAGGTTGCTGAGCAGTTGACTATATCGAAACAGTAAACCTTACCCTGGGAGAAGGTTGCTGAGCAGTTGACTATATCGTAACAGTAAGCCTTACCCTGGGAGAAGGTTGCTGGGCAGTTGACTATATCGTAACAGTAAGCCTTACCCTGGGAGAAGGTTGCTGGGCAGTTGACTATATCGTAACAGTAAGCCTTACCCTGGGAGAAGGTTGCTGAGCAGTTGACTATATCGTAACAGTAAACCTTACCCTGGGAGAAGGTTGCTGAGCAGTTGACTATGTCGTAATAGTAAACCTTACCCTGGGAGAAGGTTGCTGCGCTGTACACTGACAAGTAATAATAGGACAATGATGTCACATCGCTCGTGTTGGCCCAGAGGGTCAGGTTCTTCAGTCTGGGTTCGTCTGTCCAGATGCTCAGCCAGACGTTGCTGAAAACCCCGGTCGCCCGAAACAGCAAGAAGCACACAATGATGATCAGCCCACCCGTCACTCCTAGCGCCCGGAAATACGTCCTGATCACGGAACACTGCACCTGGAACAGTGAGTGAGTGAGTATGGTCTTACGCCGCTTTTAGCAATATTCCAGCAATATCACGGCGGGGGACTCCAGAAATGGGCTTCACACATTGTACCCCTGTGGGGAATTCAGTAATACATGGTAGGTTATCATTTGTTTGATTGGGATTTATTGGGATGAGACGCAGAGTGGTAACATGTCTTTTATTGTTTCATATGATAGATTTTGTGAACAGGCATGCCAGTGAAACAGGAAAGTGAATGCAATTTTATAAAGATTTTTGGTTTGACGCCGCACTCAATAATATTCAGGCTATATGGCGTCGGTCTGTAAAGAATCGAGTCTGGACCAATCCGAAACTAATCCTTTAGATCCCGTTTCTATGGTTGTAGACAAGTTGGTCTTGTGAAGACATTTGTGCATTCACCAATTTATCGAATTGCACGAGGACATGTATGGCATGAGAAACCTAGAGAAAAGAGAATTCTAACAAACGATAGACGTTTCTGGCTCGGTTAAGTGAGTGAGTGAGTTCATTGTTACGCCACTTTAAGCAATGTTCCAGCAATAAGAAATGGGCTTCACACATTGTACCCAGTGGCGTCGAATCTTCGGCGACACGAGCGCACACTTTAACCACCACACTACCCCACCGCTCGGTGAAGACTGCAAGTACCATGATGATAAATGCCAAATAACACAACAGAAATACTTAAAAAGGAATGTAACTTTTGTCCAAGCTGGAAAATATCAACATGCGGTCGAGACTTCATCTTCCATGTGCGCATGCGCAAAATCGAAATTGCGGGATCCTCGTTTTATGATGCAGTGTTAGCGATTTAAAGTTGCCGTTTTTATTGTTTCGGTAGCGAGGTATTATGCTTATGTTGCTATTTCAACGATTAATGTGGGCTTTTCTGCGTTTTTCTGCACAGTGGGAACGTTTTCTTTGGTAGGTCTGATGTCTTTGTCGACCTAAACACTCTTGCCCCGAATTGATGGCTTGTGGCTGGGTGGTGTAAAGGCATGGGTAGGTGTTCGTGTGTATGTGAGATGATGGGTAGATGGATGGACGTGGTGGTGTGGTGAGAGATTTAGCTGAATACACTAAACGCCAAAAGAAACGTTTCCCTCCTTCCTTAATGATGGCGGTACCTATCTTCAGCTGGCGTTGTGATGCGTGGACGTCCACTTCTTGGTCTGTCTACGGTGACCCCATCCTGTCTGAATAAATCTGATAACCTCGATACGGTGGCATCCGACGGCGTTGGCAACAGCATTGTATGTCGACCCCATCTGCACCATCCCAATGGCTTTTTCTCTCTCTTCAGCTGTTAATCGCGGCATATTTCTCGTACTTGTGTATCATAGCATGTATTCTAGGCTCTCTTCATAACCTATAGAATCATTCTACATGTAAAATGGATGCAAATACTGCTTGAATATTGCTGCGTTTTGGCGATTGATATTGCTATGTGTAAACAGAAAAAGGAAAAAATGTTACTTTGCAAGCAAAAATGTTAACAAAGATCATTTTACGTGTTCCTCAACATTTTTCCACATTATTAAAGACACGTTTTACTTGTTTTAACTAATGCAAATCAGCAGAAAATGTTTTAAAAGACTGAAATCATAGGAATGATTATTTTACAATTTTACACACTCTACAACAGTTGTTTCTTGTTTTCATAGTTGAAACATGGTGACTTTAAATGGTTAATATTTGTCCCAAGTAAAATTTTATTTCAACCTTTCCTTTCTAAATCACTGTTATTGGTTTATTTCGGCATGGACGAAAAAAAAGGATAATTTAACTCTTCTGAAAAAGATGCATTTCACCTAAATATGAATGCATTTGAGAACTTTTTTTTTTCGTGATTTGCATAAAGCTGTGTTGTTAAGCTTTCTTGTAAACTAATACCTTCTATCATGTCTTTGATAGTTTTCAAGCAATTCATAAAGGTAGTAGGGTAACGTTTCTCTTGGCGTTTAGTGTAGTATACTGAGTTTCAGCTGGCCTTGACATGAATCGGTTCTTGTGTTAGTTGGTTGGTTGTTGCACGCCACCCTCAGCAATATTCCACCTATATGGCGGAGGTCTGTAAATCCGGTGATCAAAACATGTGCATCGATCTACACAACTGGGATACGATGACATGAATCAACCAAATCAGCGAGACTGACCTCCCGATCCCGTTAGCCGTCTCTTACGACAAGCATGGGTTGCTGAAGATCAATTCTAGCCCGGATCTTCGTGGGCCGGTACTTGTGTTCAAGTCTCAGGTTTCCATGGAAATATAACAGATATAAACTGACCCTGCCCTGCTCGGACTTCTCATCCTGAACCAGACGATGTTCCTCTGCTGACCGAGGGTCTTCATCCATGTCCTCGGAATCTTCGTCCTCGTCCTCGGTGCCTCTGTCCTCGCTATCATCGTCCTCGTTGTCTTCTTTGTCCACAAGACAATCTCTCACCGCCATGACCGTGGAGTGCTGGGAACACTTCAGGTTTGTAACAGGGGCCTGTCCGTCGATCTGCTTGTGTTCGAACGTGTCCAGTGTGGCATCGATGACAGCCTTATTCAGATGGCTAACAAAACATTAAAGTGAGTGAGTGAGTGAGTATGGGTGAGTGAGTTTACAAATATTCGAGCAATATCACAAAAGGGCCTCACTCATTGTACCCATATGGGGAAACAAACCCGGGTCTTCGACAAGCGAACTCGTTACCCACCGGGCTACCTCACCGCCCTAGTCAAAGAGTTTGAAGCTGAGAAGTAAAAGTGTCAATGGAGAATGTTTAAAGACGATTTTTGTTTTACTCCCCTTCAAGGCTTTCAGAAATGAAACTAACGTGTTATTTTCAAATTCAGCTTTGACCAGAAATGTTATAAGCTTGGAGAAATATTTCCGTTATCCACCTTGATAACGAGGAAGAGGACACACGGGGAAGTTGTGAAGGATGACTAGATGATGGTTAGCTTATCAAATTATTATCAAGAAATACTTAGAAACAACATTGATTACAAATTTTGTTATGATAAACTGTGGAGGATGAACATATTTGTAAGATGATCATATGAACGAATTTAAATGAAAACAGAAAGTGACCGTTATTATTATTGCTGCTGCTGCTGCTGCTGATGATGATGATGATGAATGTTTTATGATAGCGTACATGGCAACCATTCTTGGAGTGAGTGAGGTTTAATGCTCTTTTGCATCAATGGCATCAACAACAAGTAGGATATTGTGAAACATGTCCCCTACCTCGATGATCCAGAGAGTCTGTTGATATCTGTGCTGATTGATCTAGTGGACTGTGACAGCTCAGACGTGAGGTGGACAGGAGATTTACTCAGGGGAGACAACTGTGGTATGGAAGCTAGTGATTCAACTCTCTCCAACATGCCAGTCTTTATTTGGTCCACTGAATTGAATGCAGTGAACCTGTTAACAGTATGAACAGTAACACTGCTATCCGGGGCGTAGCAAGCCATTTTTCGTGTATGTTCGATATGTTGCAGCGCTTTTCATTTAGATAGTACTGACGGCTTGCCCAACATTTATAAGAAAAATCATGTGTAAGCCGGGTTATTTTATAATGGTAGCGACGCCCCTGGCTTTCTGGAAGCACAAATGTACCAACCCATCACCGAACATACCTATATTAAACACATGGCAAGTGTAATGATCCACCAGACAAATAGGCCTCATTCAATGTACACAAGGCTAGTATGCTCATTTACGTAAAACAAATGGTGGACGAGTCAACACTAAAGGTATTGCCCTCTGTTTCTGAAAGGCTTGTATGCGAAAGCAAGGTAGACAAATTCTTACATTCCTCATCCTGTTCCTCGCATTCAGGAACTGTAACACAGCAGGTATTTACATTACCCAACCTGTTTCTTGTGGAAATATGACACAATAAGGAATCACACTTCACATCCTGTCTCATCTTCATGACACATCCAGTAATTACATTCATTATCATGTTCTCCGTGTACAGGACCTGAGACACATCCAGTACTTACATTCATCATCATGTTCACCGTGTACAGGATCTGAGACACATCCAGTACTTACATTCATTATCATGTTCCAGTTGTCCAGGATCAGAGACGCATCCAGTACTTACATTCAGCATCATGTTCCCCGTGTCCAGGATCTGAGACACATCCAGTACATACCTTCATCGCATGTTCCCCGTGTACAGGATCTGAGACACATCCAGTACTTACATTCATTATCATGTTCCAGTTGTCCAGGATCAGAGACGCATCCAGTACTTACATTCATTATCATGTTCTCCGTGTACAGGACCTGAGACACATCCAGTACTTACATTCATCATCATGTTCACCGTGTACAGGATCTGAGACACATCCAGTACTTACATTCATTATCATGTTCCAGTTGTCCAGGATCAGAGACGCATCCAGTACTTACATTCAGCATCATGTTCCCCGTGTCCAGGATCTGAGACACATCCAGTACATACCTTCATCGCATGTTCCCCGTGTACAGGATCTGAGACACATCCAGTACTTACATTCATTATCATGTTCCAGTTGTCCAGGATCAGAGACGCATCCAGTACTTACATTCAGCATCATGTTCCCCGTGTCCAGGATCTGAGACACATCCAGTACATACCTTCATCGCATGTTCCCCATGTACAGGATCTGAGACACACCGAGTACTTACATTCATTATCATGTTCCAGTTGTCCATGATCAGAGACGCATCCAGTACTTACATTCATCATCATGTTCCCCTTGTCCAGGATCTGAGACACATCCAGTACTTACATTCATTATCATGTTCCAGTTGTCCATGATCAGAGACGTATCCAGTACTTACATTCATCATTATGTTCCAGTTGTCCATGATCAGAGACGCATCCAGTACTTACATTCATCATCACGTTCCCCTTGTCCAGGATCTGAGACACATCCAGTACTTACATTCATTATCATGTTCCAGTTGTCCATGATCAGAGACGCATCCAGTACTTACATTCAGCATCATGTTCCCCGTGTCCAGGATCTGAGACACATCCAGTACATACCTTCATCGCATGTTCCCCGTGTACAGGATCTGAGACACACCGAGTACTTACATTCATTATCATGTTCCAGTTGTCCATGATCAGAGACGCATCCAGTACTTACATTCATCATCATGTTCCCCTTGTCCAGGATCTGAGACACATCCAGTACTTACATTCATTATCATGTTCCAGTTGTCCATGATCAGAGACGCATCCAGTACTTACATTCAGCATCATGTTCCCCGTGTCCAGGATCTGAGACACATCCAGTACATACCTTCATCGCATGTTCCCCGTGTACAGGATCTGAGACACATCCAGTACTTACATTCATTATCATGTTCCAGTTGTCCAGGATCAGAGACGCATCCAGTACTTACATTCATTATCATGTTTCAGTTGTCCATGATCAGAGACGTATCCAGTACTTACATTCATTATTATGTTCCAGTTGTCCATGATCAGAGACGCATCCAGTACTTACATTCATCATCACGTTCCCCTTGTCCAGGATCTGAGACACATCCAGTACTTACATTCATTATCATGTTCCAGTTGTCCAGGATCAGAGACGCATCCAGTACTTACATTCAGCATCATGTTCCCCGTGTCCAGGATCTGAGACACATCCAGTACATACCTTCATCGCATGTTCCCCGTGTACAGGATCTGAGACACACCGAGTACTTACATTCATTATCATGTTCCAGTTGTCCATGATCAGAGACGCATCCAGTACTTACATTCATCATCATGTTCCCCTTGTCCAGGATCTGAGACACATCCAGTACTTACATTCATTATCATGTTCCAGTTGTCCATGATCAGAGACGCATCCAGTACTTACATTCAGCATCATGTTCCCCTTGTCCATGATCAGAGACACATCTAGTACTTACATTCATCATCATGCTCCCCGGGTTCAGTGTCAGAGACACATCCAGTGCTTACATTCAGCATCATGTTCCCCTTGTCCAGGATCTGAGACACATCCAGTACTTACATTCATCATCATGCTCCCCGTGTACAGGATCTGAGACACATCCAGTACTTACATTCATCATCATGCTCCCCGGATTCAGCGTCTGAGACACATCCAGTACTTACATTCATCATCATGCTCCCCGGGTTCAGCGTCAGAGACACATCCAGTGCTTACATTCAGCATTATGTTCCTCTTGTCCAGGATCTGAGACACATCCAGTACTTACATTCATCATCATGCTCCCCGTGTACAGGATCTGAGACACATCCAGTACTTACAGTCATCATCATGCTCCCCGGGTTCAGCGTCTGAGACACATCCAGTACTTACATTCATCATCATGTTCCCCTTGTCCAGGATCTGAGACACATCCAGTACTTACATTCACCATCATGTTCCCCTTGTCCAGGATCTGAGACACACCCAGTACTTACATTCATCACCATGTTCCCTGTATTTAGCGTCTGAGACACATCCAGTCCTTACATTCATCATCATGGTTCCCTTATCCATGATCTGAGATACATCCAGTACTTACATTTTTCATCATCTTGCGCATCTGTCTCCTGTAACAAGTAGGTTTTCAGGAATTGTGCAAAGGGTCCATCGTGACCAAGAAGCTCTTCATACGATCCCACTTCGGTAATCTCCCCTTTATCCATGACTACTATAACATCCACCATAGGCAGCCAGTGCACGCCATGAGTCACAAGTATTCGAGTCTGTAGCATAAACATGAACGAACGTTGGCTTGCATAGTGTGTTGATTGTATTTGTTCAATGGTGATCGATTTCGAGCGTTAGCCAGGCTCTGTAGCTCATCCGAACGTATATCAAAACGTGCACCCTGTCCCATCATTGGCACCAGCTACAATCATTTCAAAATCAAGTTCATTGGCAGACAAAAAAAGAAAAGATATGATGGATAGTAAATGTATCTGACATAATATGTGTCATAAATGTATCAAATAGAACAAGTATATATGGATGACAACTTCTTTTATTCTAGAGCACTGTGTATTGCCACGTCTCCATAAACACGACGAATGACTTCTTTTAGCGGCATTTTAGAAGTTGGAAGTCAGATGGAACAAGTATATATGGATGACAACTTATCCATATATACTTGTTCTATCTGACTTCCAATTTCTAAATTGCCACTCAAAGAAGTAATAGATGTATCAAGTTTGGCAATGTCTTTCAAATGTCTACTGTAAACCTTTGTGGAAGTTTTGCTTAAGACGTGAATGCTTGAACCTTGAACAAACACGTAAATGAGGTTCTGTCAAGTCGTCGAAGAAAAAGTATGCTTGATTGTACCTCATAATTTGTGACATGGATGCAGCTGCTAGAATATTGATCGAAAGGAAATGTTTACCATTGAAACATCCCCCATGTCAGACTTTAGAACGTATTTTGTCACCTTAATCGTTACACAAAGCTCTGAATGTGAAACGACCAAGAGGTTTGAGTTGTTCATTATTCTATTTAAGGTTGGTACATCAGTGGAAGTGAATTTCCAAGATGGCCATTTTCGAACGATATTCGATCATCAACATACTTGGACATGAAGCACAACGCCTTTACCAAATAACCATGTTGAACTTTACAGGACACAGTAGAATTCCGATTCTTGTACAAGAAACAGGTCAAAAAGAAGGGGAGCACAACAATTGGTGCTCAAACACGGGAGCCACTCATTGTTCTGATTACACAATGCCATTTAGAAAGTGGTCAAATATAACATATGTTTATATTAGGGATTACACTTTCTTAGTAAAGGACAAATTCTAGTACTTTTTTAAGTTCAGCCCCATTCGAACGTTTATACAAAGAAAAAGAGGAAAATGGAAACGATGGTGATTGTGTAAAATCCATATTGGGACGTTTTGGAAAACTGATTTTTTAAATGTATTTTTATCAATTTTTGGCATTGATTCCCTCGTTTGCAAGTTTCGAATTCAAGAACTTGAGTCTATATCTAATGTAGTCGAGTCTGGTTTGGCAAAACGTCTCAAAGAAACATCAAGAACTCGACTCTCTAGTTGATACTGTAGGTCTCACTATCCGTAGATTGCATCATCAGCAAAAGTTGTTCGAGTTGTTTCTAGGCGTTTAAGCAATTAAATGGCTTTAGCGGTTTCACTATATGTTTCACTAGCTGTTAACAACTTGTATGAGTGTGACCAAGCTTTAATAATGTTAACTGCGTCTCGTCACCTTGTTCTTCAGTATCCCCTGGTGTCCTATAACTTGACTGAAGATGTGTTTGCCAACATGGGAGTCCACAGCGCTGAGGGGATCATCCAACAGATATATGTCCTTGTTACTGTATACAGCTCGGGCAAGAGACACTCTCTGCTTCTGTCCTCCACTCAGGTTGATGCCCTGGAAACGATATCAATAACAGCACTACCATTTCCAGTAGTCGGTACCATAATGTTGAGGCAGCCTAATACAAAAACTGTTCATGTATCGTAGTCATCAGATGCATTGTTCTCCTACGTTTGTGTCCATCTTTCAGATTGTTGGCGATCACTGCCACTGTGATTTGACAAATGCAGAATGGTAACACAGTTCTCCTTGCACAGTTGAATCCTTTGTGACATATCTAAATCCATAATTGTGGGTTCGAATCCTAAAACTGCCCAGTTTATATTTTAATGTTTGGTAAATGCTTTACCCCTACTTGTGTGTTTCATCAAACGTTTAGGGGCAGTGGGGTAGCCTAATGGTTAAAGCCGAAGACCCGGTTTCGAATCCCCACATGGGCACAATGTGTGAAGCCCATTTCTGGTGTCCCCTGCCGTGATGTTGCTGGAATATTGCTAAAAGCGGCGTAAAACCAAACTCAGTCAGTCAGTCTGTTCATCCAACGTTTAAGACATGTCCCACTTTAAGTGTATAAATACAATATGGCTCAAAAGGTCATTACAAAGTGACAAGACCCTTTCCATATTCACGTGAAATCACTGCTAAAGACAGTCAATACTTCTTTTCAAAAGAAAAACTCACTCATTCATTAAACAGATATCTTTCCTTTCTGAAACAAAAGGCCCTTCTCTGAGGTGACATGCATTGCCAAATATATGCAGGAGCTGACCTTTAGCTGAGCCAGGCGTCACATGTCATCACCACACTCCTTCTTGATGACGTCACCAAAGTGTGGCCTTGGGCAATTTGGGATAGCAATTCAAGGTCAACAATTGACTAGTGACATGTGCTTACAACAGGTGCCATTGCGGAGCAGGGTGCGTTCGCCTTGCCTCAAACACCTGGTGTCATAGCATGCTCATGACAGAGACATCAGAAACATCTGACCCAATGTTATAGTGACTGAATATTCAAAATAACGCTTTTTATGAAATTCACTGACTCGTCCATCTAAACACTTTCCTTTGTAAAGTGGACCCACCTTTTCTCCGATCTCTGTGTCATCCCCACCAGGAAGGAGGTCAAGGTCGGGTTCAAGGGCACATGCACTGATAACGTTCCAATACTGTTTCTCCTTATATCGCCGACCAAACAGCAGGTTCCCTCGGAGTGTCATGTGCTGGATCCAGGCTTGTTGTGGAACATAGGCAACAGAGCCCTGCACACAGACATGCAGGTCAGAAGATCATCAGATCATTTAAACATTGATGATTTATTCCTTATAATAAGGCAGACGACATGCATAATTATCTTGCCTCTCACATAAATGTCGTTTTCCGATTGGCTGAGCGCTCTTCTATTATTTTCAATGTACCCCGCTGGGAATGCGGAACTCATTTGGTACTTCGTAGTAGTAATTCTTTATCTCGAATAACATTGAATCATGTAATGATGTACGGAAATTACCCATGTTTTGCGAATGCAAATCGATGGCAGGGAGATAACTCTAAATTTGTTTTTCTTGTCGTCTTGTCCCCATACTATGATTCGATAACCGTGCTTCAACCAGTTCAAAATTACCATTGAGGTGTTCGGTAAGATAAATACGTTGTCAGTCGACATGCATAAATAGCACACACTGAGAAGAGGATGACTACAATCCCAATAAGTTCAAATAAATATAATAACAATAAACATTCTGTCTCAGCGTCCACAAAACAAATCAGCATCTCCAATATAACTACCCCACCTAAACACAAGATAGTCCCGCCCCTATCCCGAACCGGATCCAGTTTTGACCAGGGCCCACTTGCACAGAACGATCTTAGCGCTAAAATTATTGTAAATCCTTAAGATCGCGATCTTAGGCTTCAGTTACAATCGCCATCTACTTGCACAAAGCAATTGTAGGCTACGATCATTGTAAGTTACAATCGAAACTTACAATTGGTTCGGACCAATTTTAAGGAGCTAAGATGATTTTAGTCATTTTAGACTGACCGACTGAGTTTGGTTTTTCGCCACTTTTAGCAATATTCCAGCAACATCACGGCGGGGGACACCAGAAATGGGCTTCACACATTGTGCCCATGTGGGGATTCGGCGTGACGAGCCAACGCTTTAACCATTAGGCTACCCCACCGCCCCTAGTCATTTTAGAAATGGCATTCAAATTAGTGTCTGTTTCACGCAAATAATCAGCTTTACGTATGGAGATTGCATTTATATTGCATAAAACTGTGCTCATCCTCTAAATTTGATTATGCAAATTTAAATAGTACAAGTAGAGAATAGGATATTGCTGAGGCATTATTATGTTTCAAAAGAATTTCACTTTCAGATCCTGATTAATATACTGTGAATAATTTATCACGACGATTAACGCATTCGAAACACTTCTGTAGCCATTAATGTATTGTATTTTAAGGATATTTTAGGATTTTACCCTCCCCATCGAAAACGAGGAGTCGTTTAGAAATTGTACCTCCACCGTTGAAGAGTTCGATCTTAGCTAAGAGCGATCACACTACAATTGAAGTCTGCAAGTGGATTACTGCGTAGCCTAAGGTGTCTGACTGTGGGCCCAGGTGCTAACCTAGTCATCTAATTTATATATGTCACCCATTACACAACAAAATGCGTTAGAATTGTGCAGCAATGCTTCTCCATCTGTCTCCCAGTATTATTATGCTTGATCCTGCGACGACGTTCGAAACATTGGGTTGTAAGTTGTGGACGACGCTAGTCCGTCAGCCACACTACATGAAGTCTTGTACTGCAGCCAGGTGTCTGACTGTACCCACTTCATCTGCACAACTGTCAGCAGTGACTTCCCCGCGCCCACCGACCCCACCACTGCAACCAGCTGCCCTCTCCGAACATCCACGTTAATGCTGGAACAAACAAGAGTTTCTCTGAAATTCAACAATGATTATCTCATACTGTCATGTTCTCCAGCATTTCAGCATTTCTCTATACCAAGTGAAGTCGGAATGGTGTATAAGTAAGCTGTACGTTAACAGTTGACTGGAATAAGTGTCTGGGTGATCTATGTAACCTGTACTTAAACAGTTGACTGGAACAGGTGAATGCGGGCTGGTCTATGTAACCTGTACTTAAACAGTTGACTGGAACAGGTGAATGGGGGCTGGTCTATGTAACCTGTACTTAAACAGTTGACTGGAACAGGTGAATGCGGGCTGGTCTATGTAACCTGTACTTAAACAGTTGACTGGAACAGGTGAATACGGGCTGGTCTATGTAACCTGTACTTTAACATTTGACCGGAACAGGTGAATGCGGGCTGGTCTATGTAACCTGTACTTTAACATTTGACCGGAACAGGTGAATGCGGGCTTGTCTATGTAACCTGTACGTTAACAGTTGAAAAGAAGTGAATTCGTGTGGTGTACGTGTGAATGTAACCTGCACTTTAACAGTTGACGAGAAGAAGAGAATTCGGTGGTGTACGTGTAAATTGAACCTGCACTTAACAGTTGACGAGAAAAAGTGAATTCGGGTGGTGTATATGTAAATGTAACCTGCACGTTAACAGTTGACTGGAACAAGTGAATTCGAGTGGTGCATGTGTAAATGTAACCTGTACGTTAACAGTTGACGAGAACAACCTGCACTTGAACAGTTGACGAGAACAAGAGAATTCGGTTGTGTATGTGTAAATGTAACCTGCACTTTAACAGTTGACGAGAACAAGAGAATTCGGTGGTGTATATGTAAATGTAACCTGCACTTTAACAGTTGACGAGAACAAGAGAATTCGGTGGTGTATGTGTAAATGTAACCTGCACTTTAACAGTTGACGAGAACAAGAGAATTCGGTGGTGTATGTGTAAATGTAACCTGCACTTTAACAGTTGACGAGAACAAGAGAATTCGGTGGTGTATATGTAAATGTAACCTGTACGTTAACAGTTGACTAGAACGAGTGAATTCTGGGTGGTGTATGTAACCTGCACTTATATACTACAACAGGAAAATAGTCTTCTTGTTCCTCTCTACGTAGTTCCCCTTCAGTGTAACATTGTCATTCGTCAGGGGCAAATATGTTTGTGTATTTCACACTGTTGGTAGCCATGACGCCAGTTCCAGCGGAAACAGTCGTGTTTAATTTGCTAACTTTAAACTTGACTATAACCTGTGAAAAACCATGCATCGTTTGAAACTGAAGAAAAAGCAGGACTTCCTCTTTAACACCATATCTGTAAAAGTGAAATCGGTGCGGTGTAAATGCACTTTAACAGTTGACGAGAACAAGTGAATTCGGGTGGTGTATGTGTAATTGTAACCTGTACGTTAACAGTTGACGAGAACAAGTGAATTCGGGTGGTGTATGTGTAATTGTAACCTGTACGTTAACAGTTGACGAGAACAAGTGAATTCGAGTGGTGTATGTGTAATTGTAACCTGTACGTTAACAGTTGACGAGAGCAAGTGAATTCGAGTGGTGAATGTGTAATTGTAACCTGTACGTTAACAGTTGACGAGAGCAAGTGAATTCGAGTGGTGTATGTGTAATTGTAACCTGTACGTTAACAGTTGACTAGAACAAGTGAATTCGAGTGGTGAATGTGTAAATGTAACCTGCACTTTCCAATCAATAGTTTAGACTCACTAAAACCACACACTATATGTTATGTATATGTATGACTGGAACAAGTGAAGTCGGGTGGTGTATGTAACCTGCACTTTAACAGTTGACTAGAACAAGTGAATTAGGGGTGGTGTATGCAACCTGCACGTTAACAGTTGACTAGAACAAGTGAATTAGGGGTGGTGTATGCAACCTGCACGTTAACAGTTGACTGGAACAAATGAATTAGGGGTAGTGTTGTAACCTGTACCTTAACAGTTGGCTGGAACAAGTGAAGTCGGGGTGGTGTAAGTAATCTGCACAGCGAACGCGAACAAGTAAAATCGGGTGGGATATGTAACCTGCACTTATCAGTTGACTACAACAAGTGAAAGCGGCTGGTGTATGTCACTTGTACCTATATATTACACAGGGAAAATAGCATAGGACCTGGGAAAAATCACGTATCGTTTGAAACTACAGGAAAATACAGGACTTCCTTATTGATAGCACATGTGGATTCTCAAAAACTCAAAGGAATTGCTTACAATTTTACCATCTCAGACTTCTATCAAAACATTTGGTTTTTAAATAAGTTGACATTATTACTATCCCAATATTTAGCATATTCCAGCACTATCACGGCGGGGGGAACCAGAAATGGGTTTCACATCCCACATGAGAAACTTAAAGGAAAGCGTCATTCCTTGATCCATGGGGCATTTATAAACACACGCGGAGAACACAGATGTAGATACATATCTATCTTCAGAGGTTCACGACAAGCAAATGTCATTTGAATTTTATCAATAAAACAATCTGTCACATGCTGGACTTTCTCATTGATAACATATTTGTAAATGTTTTGGGTAGAAACATTTCGACATGAAGTAGGCATCTCCATAGGTATCATTTGTGCTAGTGTTGGGAATTGGTTGAAATCTCACAATTGATGATTTGTTCAATACCAACGACCAATCATCGAAAAAAAATTGGTTGGCGTCATTTTTTAGATTTTCCTATTCAGGTTGTAGTTGCAGATAAGTATAAAAAAAACCACATTTGGTTCTCTGTTGGCTTTTTTAGAAGCTGCACAAATTATATTTGCAGGTTTCACATCCAGTGTAAAATGATTCAGTTCCAGTGTAACATTAACTTCCCAGACTCTTCAAGAAATATTCAGTCATGACTTTTCAGAAAGTGAAGTGAGTTTTCTTAGAAAAAAACACGTCTTCAGGCCCTGACAACGTCTTAGATATGTTCCATCATCAAGTATTTCAAACTCTATTACAGCGGTTACAAAATCGTTTGTGTTCGATTATGAGAAAATGTGATCGATTGCTTGGTCGTTTGGCCACTGCGACCATTCTTCGATTATTTCAATTAATCGGACCACCACTAATTTGTGCACCCCTCCTTGCAAACGTGTTTCTTCATACATATGAATCGGAATTTCTGCTCGGATTGGCAAAATCAAAACAACAAAAACAATTTCAAGTTTGACCAATTAGTTTAACTTATAATAAGCTTCAGATAATTCGATGATCCAATATCGTTCAATAACCATCAGATAGCCAATTCCCTTCCACTGCAAACCGCCTCCGTGGTGTAGTGGTTAGAGCGTCCGCCCGGAGAGCGGAAGGTCGCGGGTTCGATCCCCGACCGCGTCATACCAAAAGACGTTAAAATATGGTACTTGTTGGTCCCTGCCTGGCGCTCGGCATTAATGGGTACAACAAGGACTGGTCGGCTCGGAGTCAGTATAATGTGTCTGAGTGGGGTATTCATGCTTCACTGCGGCATGGTATCTCAGTGGGCTAGCACTATAAAACCAGCTTCAGTCCGGGCTAGTACAAAAAGCCGCACATACACATACACATGCATGCACGTCGTCATATGAGCGCAATATTCTCAAACACGACGTTAAACCCAATTTCACCTCACCTCACACTTCCACTGCTTAACAAACCTGAACTTGAAGGCTGTTTAACAAAAGGGATGACTTCAACAGTCAAGTAGTTAACTTTCCCTTCATGTCGAGCACATTTGGTGTTTACATTTCGCAACTTTTTAGGTACAATCAAGCACGCTCTTTTAGCCAAGATTTCAGAGAGCGTCGTATGACTCTTGACCAAAAGTTCTTCAATTAAGGCTGTTAGCAGACCGCGTCGTACAGAAACACATATTCATGACTGACTGACTGAGTTTGGTTATACGCCGCTTTTAGCAATATTCCAGCAACATCACGGCGGGGGACACCAGAAACGGGCTTCACACATTGTGCCCATGTTGGGATTCAAACCCGGGTCTTCGGCGTGACGAGCCAACGCTTTAACCACTAGGCTACCCCACCGCCCCATGTTCATGATATAGTCACAGCTGTACAATCGGATCTGCTTTTAACATATATTTTTTCAAGGAAAGGGTTTTGTCGCTACTGTTATAAGTGTAAGCAATCCATTTCTAGTTATCATATTGTGTTTTTTCGTTTGATGAGTAATTTAATAGTTTATATTATTATTATTATTATTATTATTATTATTATCATTATTCAATGATTTGTATAGCGCCAATATCCAGCTCAGCTGCTCCAAGCCGCTTTGTGTTTCCCTCGATCAATGGATATCAATCTCAATCGACACATCGTATTATCAATCTCAACTCCCCGTGGATCATACAACCCCAGGCGCACAGAGTTAATGTGGCTTTCCCATCCTTACGAGGTATCCGTTCAAAGTTGGGTTGACTGGGACACATAGTCACAGTACATTGTCCAAGTCAACTGCACCTTGCTGTACCGGCAACTAGGTGTCTGCATGCATTCATGTGGCCACCATATGGTCATATATCGACGGATTCGTGGGTTCTTTTAAGTGCACTGGGATGTGTAGTGTGCACTAGGGGTTGTGACAACACTGAAAGAGTCTGCACTCAAAGTTGATTCCAAGGTTTTTACACCCGGTCACAGGTGGGCTCGATCCCAGCACCTTAAACTCACTGGGATGGCTCCCTAGACAGCGTGCCCACCACGCCCATGGGGGATTACACGTTATAGGTTGTACTTCAACATAAATTCCTTGTGGTTACACTGCAGTGTATGAAATTTGGCCCTTCCGACAGCCCGAGACGGTCTAGATTTCTGACGGACGGTCTAAATTTACAGCTAGCCAGCCCGATGTAGATGTTCCATATATCTGAGTAAATTCACCATATTTGGTCTGGTTAAATCCATTTTGGGCTGGTAACATTTTGAAGTTACCAGCCCTGGTGTCTGGCTGGGTTTTTGGCTTATTTCATACACTGGTTACACTCTAGATATCAACATGCGACATGCAAGTTATCTGCACAAAATATTCAAGCCATGGATAACAGAAATACAAAATATCTACTTGAGAAAGACAAGCCATCTAAATAGGCTATGGAAGTCATACACTTCACATATTCAAATAAAATGGAAATGTCTGCTAAAAGCAGAGTTGGTTGTACGATTCCGACTACACCGTGCACATGAGTTCAAGGCTCAAAATAGCTATGCTACCATGTGTTCGAAAAAAGTCAAGGGTATCCTACCCCATCGGTGCAGGATTCAATCGGAGTTATTTTTTTCGTTATTATGCATAGTTCAATGCTCACTTGTTAAGAGTCGGGACTTGCAGGGATCTGTTCCAGGTGAAACTCCCATTCCGGATACTTAGAGTCACACCTGGAAAGTCAGAAATACGTGAATATTGTGCCGGAAGTCCTGTGTAAGGATATAGTCAAGCAATTAAAGATGAGGTAATAGGAGCGAGTGACTGGACTTATCTGTGGATAAGCAAAGCATATTTAAAACCTCTCTTTTTATATCTATGCCACAGGACCATCAAAGCTATAATTCCATCTTTGAATCATATGGAGATTTCCGTCCTGTGCTACAGGCTGAGGACATTACCTGCCTCTGTATCAGGCGTGACGCTGTTCGGGTCAAGGTCTTCTCCCGTCAGGTAGTTAGACAGTCGCTTGATGGACACGAAGGCCTGAAAAGCATCAGAATACATAAAACCCTTGTTCACTTTTCACCAGTCACATTCACCAAGTCGTTAGCAGTTGAAGAGTTTCAAATGTCAATTGTTTTGGACATAGATACACTGCTGTCAATGCGTGCTGAACGTACGTGGATTGTATGATGAGTTACTTGGACTTCAATAGATACAGTTATGCTGAGAATTCACACGATATCTGGTGAGTTACCCGGTGCTCCTTTTACGAAAGAACCTTTACTAACTTTAACTTTAACTCCCATTCTTTAACATAGCACTAAGGTTACCTTAGTGACTTACGATCACCTTAGTGCTTTGTGAAAAGCGCCCCTGGACTTCAATAGGAACAGTTATACAGACAGTTCACGGGATATCTAGTGAGTTACCTGGAGTTCAACAGATGCAGTAACTGCTATGCAGAGTGTTAATGGGTTGTCTGGTGAGTTACCTGAACTTCAATACATACACAGTTATGCAGACAGTTCACGGGATATCTGGTGCGTTACCTGGACTTCAACAGATGCAGTAACTGCTATGCAGAGTGTTAATGGGTTGTCTGGTGAGTTACCTGCACTTCAACAGATGCAGTAACTGCTATGCAGAGTGTTAATGGGTTGTCTGGTGAGTTACCTGCACTTCAACACATGCAGTAACTGCTATGCAGAGTGTTAATGGATTGTCTGGTGAGTTACCTGGACTTCAACAGATGCAGTAACTGCTATGCAGAGTGTTAATGGGTTGTCTGGTGAGTTACCTGGACTTCAACAGCTGCAGTAACTGCTGTGCAGAGTGTTAATGGGTTGTCTGGTGAGTTACCTGGACTACCATAGATACACAGTTAGGCAGAGAGTTCATGGGTTGTCTGATGAGGGTGAAGAGACTGAGTGACACAAAGGCTGTTTCAGAATCCAGGTAGTGGTTGTCAGACAGCATTACATAGGTCACAAAGCTGGTCAAGGTCACCTGCGGGTCAAAGGACAAATGTGACGTCAATATTAGAGACACGGAAGTCCCAAGCGTATTTGTTTCACGATTTCTGTTTTATTCATAGCAACGTATGGACATTGAGGTGGGGTGAGGTGAGATGAGGTGAAGTTGAGTTTAACGTCGTGCTTGAGAATATTGCGCTCATATGACGACGTGCATTCGTGTGTATGTGTATGTGCGGCTGCTTGTACTAGCCCAGACTGAAGCTGGGTTTATAGTGCTAGCTCACTGAGATACCATGCCGCAGTGAAGCATGAATACCCCACTCAGACACATTATACTGACTCCGAGCCGACCAGTCCTTGTTGTACCCATTAATGCCGAGCGCCAGGCAGGGACCAACAAGTACCATATTTTAACGTCTTTTGGTATGACGCGGTCGGGGATCGAACCCGCATTGAGCCGAAAGGTACAAAGTTGGAATGAATTATTGTAGTCACAGGGGTAAAACGGTCTATAATGTCATAGACGTGGAAGTGAAGAATTATCCAAAATAATAGGTTTTGGTACAAATGCACCAAGGACATGTAGACGTCCTATCAACGCTTTGTCTCGTTGGTCATGTGGACAAAGCGTCCGTTAATCAGAAGAGGCATGTTTGAATCCCGTCGTGGGACCCGGAAATGTTATGGCTGCACTATTGGTGCCCAATGTGGGACCCGGAAATGTTGTGGCTGCACTATTGGTGCCCAACGTGGGACCCGGAAATGTTATGGCTGCACTATTGGTGCCCAACGTGGGACCCGGAAATGTTATGGCTGCATTATTGGTGCCCAACGTGGGACCCGGAAATGTTGTGGCTGCACTATTGGTGCCCAACGTGGGACCCGGAAATGTTATGGCTGCACTATTGGTGCCCAACGTGGGACCCGGAAATGTTATGGCTGCACTATTGGTGCCCAATGTGGGACCCGGAAATGTTGTGGCTGCACTATTGGTGCCCAACGTGGGACCCGGAAATGTTATGGTTGCACTATTGGTGCCCAATGTGGGACCCGGAAATGTTATGGTTGCATTGTTGGAGCCCAACGTGGGACCCCAAAATGTTATGGCTGCACTAATTGTGCCCAACGTGGGACCCGGAAATGTAATGGCTGCACTATTGGTGCCCAACGAGGGACCCGGAAATGTTATGGCTGCACTATTGGTGCCCAACGAGGGACCCGGAAATGTTATGGCTGCACTATTGGTGCCCAATGTGGGACCCGGAAATGTTATGGCTGCACTGTTGGTGCCCAACTTGGGACCCGGAAATGTTATGGCTGCACTATTGGTGCCCAATGTGGGACCCGGAAATGTTATGGCTGCACTGTTGGTGCCCAACTTGGGACCCGGAAATGTTATGGCTGCACTATTGGTGCCCAATGTAGGACCCGGAAATGTTATGGCTGCACTATTGGTGCCCAATGTGGGACCCGGAAATGTTATGGCTGCACTATTGGTGCCCAACGTGGGACCCGGAAATGTTATGGCTGCACTATTGGTGCCCAATGTAGGACCCGGAAATGTTATGGCTGCATTATTGGTGCCCAACGTGGGACCCGGAAATGTTATGGCTGCATTATTGGTGCCCAACGTGGGACCCGGAAATGTTATGGCTGCACTATTGGTGCCCAACGTGGGACCCGGAAATGTTATGGCTGCACTATTGGTTAAATAATATAATTAGTTATTATTTAACATTCAGCGAAATTTTGTCAATTTTATCCAGGTAACATTTTGTCAGTTGAAGTACAATTTCAAATTAATATCCTCCATGACTGATGCTCATAATGATACTTATTTGTCACTTCCAGATTCAATTATACTCAGACAGCATTAATACAGCTAGACTATTGTTGAGCGCCGCTACAACTGAAACTACACTCACGGAAACAACAGCACAAACAATTCACCCTTAAAAAAGATGAATAGATACACAACCAGGGCGTATCTAAATCACTGAATATATTAAAATGATATGGTCAGACTATTTTGAATATAACTCTGTACAATGTGTTAAGCCCATTAGTGGTGCCCCGTGATATTGCTGAAATATTGCAAAAAGCGGCGTAAAACTAAACTCACTCACTCATTTATCATTTCGTATCGATACATGACCAATCGGTATATTTATACCGTTATCCTTTCATCCTGCCACCGCTAACATGATGTGTAATCACTAGGGCTTCAACGAGTCCATATTTTTGGACTCGAGTACTCGAGGGGTGAGACTCGACTCGGACCCGAGTACTCGAGATTCATACCTTTCAAGCAAACGATCAATTGTCAAGATAGTTACCTAATCATTTTAAGAAGTGAAATCTCAATCGATGTATAATATTTACTCTCATCTGCAGACTTGTAACAACTAATACCATACAGCCACACCGTGTGAGGAATAAACTATTTAATCTAGGTGTTAATAAAAACATTATCAGATGGGTTGAAGAATTCAGGGTACATAGAACTCAGTATGTCAGTGTCAATGGCTATCAATCTTCTTTTCTCTCAACCTCTACTGGAGATCCACATGGCTGTGTTACTTCATCCGTACTCTTCGTTTTGTATACCAATGACTGTTACTTGTCAACATATGACTTGTTTACTGTGAAATGTGCAGATGACGCCACTGTTACTGGCCTAATTTCTGATTCTGAACATTATTATCGTCAAGGCATTGACAAAACCGTAATGACAGTTTTTTATCAAACCTTTTTTCAAAGTGTGTTGACCTACAATTTTCTATGTTGGTATGGGGATCTGTCTCATCGCAACAAAAACAGACTTTTCAAAATTGTTAATACTGCTTGCAAAAGTTCTAGAGTGTATTTCGAGTATATTCAAAAAGGCACCTAAAATTTGATTTGATAGTTGACATATTTGATCTCATCATTTTGAACTACTAACTTCTGGACGCTGCTGTTGATTACCTTCCCTCAAAACAGAGCTCGACAGTCTTTCATACCATCATGAATTCGTGAATGCAACAAATATTTTGAATCACCATCATGTTAGAACTAGAATTATTCAGCCTCTTTACCTATCTGGTTAATTGAATTATATCATGTCAGTTTTACTTGTAAATAGCATTCGTTTTGAACATGTAATTATTGTGTATATTTTTGTGAACTGTGTGTATATTCATTTTGAGACAGTTTGGATATATGAGAATTTCCTCTGGGATAATTAAGTTATATCTTTTTCTTAATATTAGACGTTAACGGCCGCTCATGCTTAGCACATGGCAGACTGTCCGTCAACGTCAATCATTCGAGTTATCTCCCCTTTCGAGTCCTCGAGTCCTTGAAAATGGACTCGAGTCCAGCTAAACCCGACTCGTCCTCGAGTACTCGAGTACCCGTGGAAGCCCTAGTAATCACTAAATCCTTCCAAATCACACATTTTTCCAATAGAGTATTATTCATTAGATCATCCATGAACGACATTTGGTTGTAAAACTTGATATCTTCCCAGCATCTTTGAAAACACTTATTCTGTTGAAAATTTCCCAAGTCTCTTGAGAGTGTCAAGTGATTAGCATCCCGCTGAGAACAATGTATGAGTGAGTGAGTGAGTTTGTTTTAAACCGTTTTAGCAATATTCCAGCAATATCACGGCGGGGGGACAACAGAAATAGGCTTCACACATTGTACCCATGTGGGGAATCGTACCCAGGTCTTCGACGTGACGAGCGAACGCCTTAACCACTGGGCTACCCCACCGCCCCGGCCCCAACAATGTACGAAGAAGACTGACCAGAGTCGGGGCCCCCCTGGAAGCAGAAGGTGTTGAATGAGTTCAAAATGGCCAGTTTCTGCAGAATGCGGACCTCCATGTTGCGGATGACGGTGATCTTGTCCCGGAACGACCTCTCCCAGGCGTACAGCTTTAAAACCTGAAGTCAGTATGTGTCATGTTATTCTAACGGAGACGGACATAGGTGATTTGGTCGAACGAGCCCTCCCGTGCATACAGCCTTAACACCTGTGAGTCAGTCTCAGGGTTTTTGTCCATTTCTTATTTCAATACACCAGGGTTACGATTGATGCAAGGTGGCTATGTTCATGGACAGAGTAGCTGTTTGCTTTAATAAACAACAACGTGAGATCGATATTAATACGTCTTTGGTTATCTGCACTAAGAAATTGGACAATATCATTCATAAAAAATGAGAACAAGAGAGGTGACAATTTAACAATTGGCACCCTTGACGGACTCCAAACATACAATAAATACTGTGTACAACATTCTCTGAAGAAACACATGTTTCGACTCAATCTAAATGTTTTACCCTTTACATTTCCAGTCCAAAGTTTATACAAAAGGGATTTTCGGACAATAGAATCAAAGGCAATTTTAATGCCTATAAAAGCGCAGAATAAACTTCCATTATACAGTGATAAGTACTTATTATTGATAGTATCAAGAATAGACATGTTGTCATATGTTTGGAAACCCTTCTGGGACCCATCTTGCTCATTTGTAGTAAAGTTTTCCTCATCTGCCCTTTAACTTAGCCTATTACTCAAGACTTTGGCAAATATTTTGCCTGCCACGTCAGGTAAGGTTATAGGTCTGTTATTAGCAGGATCATTGAAACTTCCCCTTTTTATGAATTGGTATAATAACTCCCAAAGTCCAGCATCGGGATATTACCTTTATCCCGGTTAGAACTTCATTCATGAATTTCAACCGCTGGTCCTTGATGGATAGGCGTTTATTATGGAGCTTCCTCAGGTGTGTAGACAGCTTGAAGTTAATTGGCGCCAGAACTAGCATGACGGCTATGCCGGCAAAGATGGCGACCCCGATTGTCTGGTACAGGAAGTAGAGGCCAAGGCTGAGCATGAACGGCGCTGACCACAGCACCCACAAATTGCCGGTGACCTCACAAACACGCGCACAGTCTACGGACATCATGTTGACAATAGCTCCGGTCGTGTACTGTCTCCTGCATTCATTGTTCATAGTCAGAGCCTGCAAGAACAGAGAAACTCAACCGGAATTATATTTATGAGTGAGTGAGCTTAGTTTTACGCCGCCTTTAGCAATATTCCAGCAATATCGCGGCGGAGGACACCAGACATGGGCTTCACACCTTGTACCCATGTCGGGAATCAAACCCGGGTAATTTGAGTAACGAGCGAACGCTTTAACCACTTGGCTACCCAAACCGTTTCATATTTATCAAGTAACTTCACTGCGAGTTCGCTTGATACTGAATCTTAATACAGGGATGGACAAACTCTATATCATATCATTTATCATATCATGTACAGAAAGAATGAAAGATATCTATGTCCAATCTTAGTCGGAATCATTACTTCTATCCACAAAATGTTTATACCATAATCAATGGAAATCGGACATACGTTTTGAAGACTATTAGCAAAAATCGACGTAAAGAAGCTTCGTATAGTTCTCTCTCGTTTTTGTTGCTGTTCCCAAGAAATATTATTCAAACTGGCAGGTATACATGGATATAAAGAAAAAACAGAATGTGTCAATTATGTAATATGAATACTGTTGAGGATGAACTACATTTCCTTCTAATCTGTCCTGTTTATACGACTCTACGAACGATATACCTAAGGCCATACTATTATAAGCATCCAAGTGTAACTATTAACAGATACTACCACATCACTATTACAGAATCTGGCAATGTACATCTATTTCTCAATGAGTTTAAGAAAAATTATTGTTACAGAAAAGAATTTATAAATGACTTGCATCAGCTCATGTAAATACTAAATGTACTACAGGCCTGTTGCCTTTTTAAGTACTGAAATAAAGATTGATTGATTGATATACATCGGAGCTTGTCATGTAACGTCACTTTACATTGATGGACGAGCCATATTTTATATTTGACGATAAAAGGGAAGGCAAATCTGTGTTTCATCTTACTAGGTACCCATTTACAGCTTGTAAAAATAGTCCTACAATTTTCTCCTAGACAATTCACTAACACAGTTTTCGATGTTTGGTGAGACTTTACCTTCCTATACACGGCAGTGACTAGAGCAGTCTTGATCTTGAGGCCGATGTTGAATGCCACAAAGACGCACTGAGACAGTAAAATGGATTGGAACATGGAAACGATGAAGAAAGATGCCACGATTGCATAGCCCTTCCAGTCTGTCTCGCTCTTCCGGTGCTCCACGTACCAGATAAGTCTCCTGACGACAGCGAGAACCAATAGTTTCACTGGAGCCTGTGTAGCTCGTCTTGTTATAACTAGAGTGGGGATTTATATTCAAAATATGAAAAATCCTTGGCTTCCATTTCTTTATTGTCATTCCCGTGTTACATGCACCATTATTATCTCATTATTCATATAATAATCCCACTTGTCCATCGTCCTAACCTATTCAGCACTGAGTAACTTCCCTTGTTATCTTATCACTGTTGCTTCACAGGTACATATATAGCTAACTGTTTCCCCAGTCTTTCAGTTTCTGATGAAGGAGTAGGAATATGACATCCATACGTTCTCGCCTTTATTGAAAACCGACATTTTGAAAACTATTTTACCAACACATGACGTACTTGTGACTTCTTCTCAATGTAGTTCTTTCGTAAAATTCTAAAATGGTAGGAAGGAACCATTCAAAATATTAATGACTATGTGAGTCATGTATTTTATACTGCAAGTCGGACAATATAGGCTGGAAGAGTCATGTGTTTAACTTACATGCTTGAACAACCCCAGAGCCGGAGAATCATGTTTCTGACATACTTTCTGAACAAACACCTGGGCGTGGGAGTCTTTCTCCAAACATACACTCGACAACTACCGTACTGAGAAAACTCCTTCAAGAGAAAAGGCCTGGTAAATCAGACCTCTGACAAACTTACTTGAGCAACAACGGGAAGAGGAACTGCACCAGGTCAGCACAGAATCTCAGCAGATGAGACACCAGTAGTTCACTTCCGTACGTCCTGAATAAAACTTTGATCAACGTCCACTTGTTTGCATGACCTGTCCAGGAGGAGGTCTTCTTGCTACGGATCTCCACACCAGTGTCCGGGCTAATGTCAGTGGCAGCCGGCTTCTCCAGTTCCAGGAGAACTTCCCCGGTTGAATCAGCAGGTTCTGTCTCCTTACTCCGAGACTTCACACCAGGATGTGTGTCAAGATCTGTGGTAGCGCCAGCCCCTCTAAGTTTCTTGAGTTCCAGGAGAACCTCCTTCTCAGATGTGTCGGCAGGTTCTGTCTTCTTGTTCCGGATCTTCACACCAGGGCGTGTGTCCAGATCTGTGTCAGCGCCAGCCCAGCTAAGTTTCTTCAGTTCTTCTGGGTCTGCAAGTTCGGTCTTCGAAATGAGTTTGTTGATTTCTCGTTGCCACAGTACGTCAAATGGAGGGACTGTGACCTGACTCTTTAGATATGGAGGTAGGTCCCACAGATCGCTGTCTGTGATTGGATGTCTCCAGCCCCTCCAGATCATCCTGGAAATAGTCAAGACTTTCAACTGAGATATAATAATCAGTCCTGTGGGATTATAGAGGAACGTAAGGTGCAGTAGCGGAGGCGCTAAAGAGGGACGTCGGGAGAGTTCATTGCTGGACTAAAGCTGAAAATAGGGAGTGGTCACTGTGGAGCTAAAGTTGAACCATGGGAGAGGTCACTGTGGAGCTAAAACTGGACGTAGGGAGAAGTCAAAGTGGGACTAAAGCTGAACCTAGGGAGATGTCACTGTGGAGCTAAAGCTGTACCAAGGGACAGGTCAATGTGGAGCTAAAGCTGGACCCAGGGATAAGTCACTGTGGAGCTAAAGCTGAACCTAGGGAGATAGGTCACTGTGGAGCTAAAACTGGACCTTGGGAGAAGTCACTATGGAGCTAAAGCTGTACCAAGGGAGAAGTCACTGTGGGACTAAAGCTGAACCTAGGGAGATAGGTCACTGTGGAGATAAAGCTGTACCAAGGGACAGGTCACTGTGGAGCTAAAGCTGGACTTAGGGAGAAGTCATTGTGGGACTAAAGCTGTACCTAGGGAGATGTCACTGTGGAGCTAAAGCTGTACCAAGGGACAGGTCAATGTGGAGCTAAAGCTGGACCCAGGGATAAGTCACTGTGGAGCTAAAGCTGAACCTAGGGAGATAGGTCACTGTGGAGCTAAAACTGGACCTTGGGAGAAGTCACTGTTGAGCTAAAGCTGTACCAAGGGAGAAGTCACTGTTGAGCTAAAGCTGTACCAAGGGAGAAGTCATTGGGGGACTAAAGCTGAACCAAGGGAGACGTCATTGGGGGACTAAAGCTGAGTCACGGGAGAAGTCATTGGGGGACTAAAGCTGAACCTAGGGAGAAGTCAATGGGGGACGAAAGCTGAACCTAGGGAGAAGTCATTGTGGGACGAAAGCAGAACCTAGGGAGAAGTCATTGTGGGACGAAAGCTGAACCAAGGGAGAAGTCATTGGGGGACTAAAGCTGAACCTAGGGAGAGGTCACTGTGGAGCTAAAACTGGACCTTGGGAGAAGTTACTGTGGGACTAAAGCTGAACCAAGGGAGAAGTGATTGTGGGACAAAAGCTGAATCCTAGGATAGGTCACTGTGGAGCTGAGGCTGAACCAAGGGAGAAGTCATTGTGGGGCTAATCTGAACCTAGGGAGAAGCCATGTGGGACTAAAGCTGAACCTAGGGAGAGATCACTGAAGGACGAAAGCTGAACATATGGAACAGTCAATGTGGGGCGAAAGCTGAACCAAGGGCGAAGTCATTTGGGGACTAAAGCTGAACCAAGGGAGAAGTCATTGGGGGACTAAAGCTGAACGTAGGGAGAAGTCACTGGGGGACTAAAGCTGAACGTAGGGAGAAGTCATTGGGGGACTAAAGCTGAACCACGGGAGAAGTCATTGGGGGACTAAAGCTGAACGTAGGGAGAAGTCATTGGGGGACGAAAGCTGAACCTAGGGAGAAGTCAATGTGGGACTAAAGCTGAACCAAGGGAGAAGTAATTCGGGGACTAAAGCTGAACTTAGGGAGAAGTCATTGGGGGACGAAAGCTGAACCAAGGGAGAAGTCATTGGGGAACTAAAGCTGAACCTGGGGAGAAGTCATTCGGGGACTAAAGCTGAACCTAAGGAGAAGTCGCTGAGGGACTAAAGTTGAACTTAGGGAGAGGTCACTGTGGAGCTGAAGCTGAACCTAGGGAGAAGTCATTGTAAAGCTAAAGCTGAACTTTGGAGAAGTCACTGAAGGGAGGGAGAGGTCAGTGAGACGCTAAAGCATTCGTGACCTACTCGTGTTATTCCGGGTCAAGCCGAATAGCGACTCGTGCCCCTCTGAAAGGATTTCATATTGGCTTATGAACATCAGAACTACTTTAAACCTGTTTGATTCTAATGGTACTTAAATATCACCGAAGCACTTGTATATCGTATTGCTGTGTTTTTTATTCATTTCTTTTAATGAAGAAACCTCTTTGATAGAACTAAAAGAAGGAGAACAAATATTTGTAAAAGACATATCATTACAACCAGCTGCCCGCCTTATATTTTCAAGTATATTACTGAACAGAATTTAATAATCACAAATGGGATTTGTTTTATTGAATATGCAAATAAAGTTTACAAAAAAACAGCTACATTAAATCCCAAAGCAGATACTCAAAAATGACCTTAAAACATTTCTCAAACCAAACATACGTGTAACCTTGCTGTCATACCCCAAGTGGAATTTTAAAAGAATTCGCTGAAAATATATGAATGACCCAAAACAAGTCAGACTAAAATATTTCCAGCAATGTGAAATATATGCCCAATGTTAAAGATTAAGTTGATTAGTTACATACAGATATACTATTATTGTGTTGAAATTCGTAGCGAATTATAATTACATTTCCTAACACTGTTGACCGTGAAGGTCCGAGTTAGAATTCATCTTCAGTAACCAATGCTTGTCGTAAGAGGCGACTAACGGGATCGGGTGGTCAGGCTTGCTGACTTGGTTGACACATGTCATCGGTTCCCAATTGCGCAGATCGATGCTCATACTGTTGATCACTGGATTGTCTGGTCCAGACTCGATTATTTACAGACCGCCGCCATATAGCTGGAATATTGCTGAGTGCAGCGTAAAACTAACCTCACTCACTCACTCCTACCACCGTTGGAAGCGCACATACAATCACCACAACAAGCCCGCAATATTGTCAGAAATACACTCAGTTGGAGCAGTGAGAGCCGTTATCAATCACCACAACAAGCCCGCAATATTGTCAGAAATACACTCAGTTGGAGCAGTGAGAGCCGTTATGTCAACAAACGCATGTTCGTGTATTTGAACTCTTACCATCAATCGCATGATACTTATCAAAAACTTCAAATTAGATAGCACAATTCTGTTAGCTAAGTTCTTTGTACTTTCAATATGACGATATATATCTTTCATGATTTTTTAAACAATTACATAATGCCATAAATGATTTAAGTAGTCGGGAATATTTTTATCAAAGCACCGCAACCATTACCCGCGTTCTGATTGGTTTGTCGTATTTTCGCACATAACAACAACCGAGACGGGGACGAGTCTTCTTGGAGGTAACGGAACCGGGCGCGTGGTGACGAATGACTCTAAAGCTGAACCTAAGGAAAGGTCACTGTGGAGCTGAAGCTGAACCAAGGGAGAAGTCATTGTGGGACTAAACCTGAACCAAGGGAGAGGTCAGTGTGACTCTAAAGCTGAACCTAGGGAGAAGTCAATGTGGGATTAAAGCTGAACCTAGGGAGAGGTCACTGAAGGACGAAAGCTGAATCTAGGGAGAGGTCAGTGAGACTCTAAAGCTGAACCTAGGGAGAAGTCAATGTGGGATTAAAGCTGAACCTAAAGAGAGCTCACCGAGGGACTAAAGCTGAACCTTGGGAGAGCTCACCGTGGGACGGAAGCTGAACCTAGGGAGAAGTAATTGTGGGACGAAAACTGGTTATATTGAGACGTCATTGTCGGACAAAAGCTTAACCTCGGGAGAAGACATTGTGGGACAGAAGCTGAACCTAGGGAGAAGTCATTGTAGAACTCAAGCTGAACCTAGGGAGAGGTCACTGAAGGACGACAGCTGAACCTAATGAGAGGTCAGTGAGACTCTAAAGCTGAACCTATGGAGAAGTCAAGGTGGGATTAAAGCTGAACCTAAAGAGAGCTCACCGAGGGACTAAAGCTGAACCTTGGGAGAGCTCACCGTGGGACGGAAGCTGAACCTAGGGAGAAGTAATTGTGGGACGAAAACTGGACATATTGAGACGTCATTGTCGGACAAAAGCTTAACCTCGGGAGAAGACATTGTGGGACAGAAGCTGAACCTAAGGAGAAGTCATTGTAGGACTAAAGCTGAACCTAGGGAGAAGTCATTGTTTATCATAAGCTGAACCCGGGGAGTAGTCACTGTGGGACTCTAAGATGAACATAGGGAGAGGTCATTATTTCACAAAAGCTGAATTGATTTTCGCAATTTAGTCATGAATTAAAGGAACATATTTTACGCTTAAAACATGGTACAAATAAGTATAGTTTGTATGATGTTATCTGACGTACCCTCTCAGGTGGACAATGATATTTAGTTCTTTGACAGTACTGACAGAAACAATCTCACTTATCAAATGTATTCGGCCAATCATAAAAAAAAATATATATATTATGTACAAGACATATTTATCAAAATTTGTGGAGCAATTCAATTTGTTTTTGACCGTGATTCTTTCAATACAAGGGATACACAACGGAGGATCCTCACCTCTTTAGAAATATTCATGCGTATATCTGCAATAGTCAATACTGCATCGTCTTTAAATGACCTCTCTAAATCTGGACTGACAGCCCAAGTAGGTATAACCAATATAAGTTTTTATTGCATGTAATTTATTGATACCGACTTGAGTGTTCCACTTCTTTTGTCTTAGATCCCGGATGTAGCTAATAACAGCTTTATATTGACTGTAGGGTATCAGAAGTGGTGTCACAGATTTGTTGAGTGCTGCCTTAGCAACAGAGCGAGCCATTGTGTTACCTGTGAGTCCAACATGGCTGGGTAACCAACAGAAGACGATGTCATATTGGTCAGTAGCAAGATCATTTTGTAAAAAAAAGAATTTCAATTAAAAGTGGATGTTTATTTGACGTGTTTTAATGGTCCGAAGGCAAGAAAGGAAATCTGAAAATAATATGTACAGTTTATATTTAGACTATTTAGTGATAAATTTAAGAGCAGATAACATGACGTTTGCTTCTGTCGTAAATATGGAGCTGTTCTTTTGCAATCTAGAAGAAACTGTTTTGGGTCCAATGACAGTGGCACTGACAACTGCGCCACCATCCTTGGATCCATCTGTGAAGATAGATTCATAATTGTTTCTTAATTCATTATATTGTTGTTGAAAAAAAGGTGGTAAGTTTCAGATATTTTAACTTTAGTTAATGTGCGATCCATCGGTGGTGTAATTGCTAAGGAGAA